TAATATGCTCTGATTTACTTCTTGGATCCAGATCTCTGTGTCTCTGCCAAACCTAATAGATTTCAAGTCATTAAGTGAGATATTTAAGTGGCTGGCAATAATCCTAATAATTTTCGGCTCAGTTGCACGGTAGAAAAACTTCTTCTTTACAGCCAAGACTTTGCTCCATATGTTCTCATTTGGAGGTCCACAGGTGACAGTTCCTGACATTTGCAAACATTATGTGCAACTAGACAAACAAAGTTCTTCTTGTTTGTGCAGACTGCTCCCCGGCTCTTGCATCATTGACCATGTTCCTCTAAACTGCTTTATCTCCTGCTCTGTGTAAGAGTCTCATACTTATTCCTAGAGCCGCAAGCTATAATTGGCTTCACTGATAAATTTACTGGATGCTTTAATCAAACAATGGCAAATCTTATTTGACTGGGCTGAGACTTAATGGACCCATTTTAAACTGCCTTTGGCTATATGTTTCTAAGTGCCCTATTTTAACAGGGAAAGAACAGGGAAATATTAAAGTTGGCTTTTCTTACTAATAAGTACCTTTTTGTTTACCTTCTTTATTAAAGTTCGGTGGGGTTTTAAAAAATGAATAACATTATAGAAATATTTTTTAATAAAGTAACTTTTGGCATATTCATCACATTCCTCCTGTTCCTAGAACAGCCACGAACTGAGCTTTCGGTACATTTTATTTGAATGTCATCAGCCAGTTACAGGGAGGAATAAAATAACGTGTGTGTGTATGTTTGTGCGTGCATGCGCGTGCATAATCGATCACACAATGCCCGTGGCAATGCCCCTCAAACATTTTATTGGTGGACCCGAAGGCCCTCAGCCCCTAGGAGTTGGCTCCTATGGCCGATTAATAGTTCATAGGTTAATGAACCAACAATTCTTTAACTGGCTAACAGTGCTATGCATTCCAGAAGCCATTTGGCATATCTTGTGCAATAGATACAGCAACATACTGAAGGCCGCAGGCTGGGAATCTGTATGTGACCACAGCTTCCCACTGAATTTGCATGCAGTAAAACCAATGAGAATGTGATTGTCGCTTTTTGCTGCACGTGGATCTGCCCGCAAAGGCTGTACCAAAGCTGTATTTCAGGCAGAATGCTACTGCTTGCCTCTTCATGGGTGTAGTGAGTAGTGCAGGAGTTGGTACCTGGAATTTTAGATCCAAATCTGTATGCTGATTCTTACTTTTAAAGCCTTAGGCTTGCTACTAAACATGATAGCAAAATGAAGCCTTCCTCTTCAAAGTCTCTATCTAATGGGGCAAGGATGCTGGCTCCATGTTTGGGTTTGAAAGATGCCCAGAAACCTCTGGCTGGCCACAGCTGGAAAGAATGCTGAGTTATAGAGGGACTTACTGAGGATGAAAGTTCCCATGTTCAGGCAGGCTCCCAAAAGCCCATTCAGTGTCATGGAAACCTTTGAAGAGGGAAAAATGTGCTCAGCTTTGCTTACTAATGCTGGTAAATATGTATGTCTCGCTTTGTTACAGTAGGTAATACACAGCTGAGGACCCTATAGCAATCTTCTGGCACTTGGTTTTATCCTCAAAATCTTAAGTACTTGCTATATTGGTAGTTAGGATGGAAGGAATTCCCCCTCTCAGGACAAAATCGCTGCATATTGTGGGAAAGTTCTGTTCTTCTTCAGCAATGCGGTAGTGGCACAGGCCACAGGCCTGCAGCCAGTTTTCAAAATTTATTCTTTGCTCGTCAACCAGCACTTCTGGAGAAGGAAGTCCTGGCTTCTGCTGCCTGGGCCTGTGCTTTAGTATAATCTGAAAAACATGGTCCTTACAAACAGGAGATCCCAGACCCTTAGTGCTAGGGCCTGAATAGATGGATCTTCTGATGCATGTTTGCTTTAGAATTCTATCATTACCATTAACCGTATGAAAGATGTTTCCATATAACTCATCCTTTTCTGCTCCACCAGTGCTCTCCCATGCTGTGGTTTATAGCCAGAGCTGCACATACGCCCACAATTCTGTACAAGTTCTGAAAAAGTTGATACAGTAGTACCTCGGGTTACATATGCTTCAGGTTACAGACTCCACTAACCCAGAAATAGTGCTTCAGGTTAAGAACTTTGCTTCAGGATGAGAACAGAAATCGTGCTCCGGCTGCGCGGCAGCAGCAGGAGGCCACATTAGCTAAAGTGGTGCTTCAGGATAAGAACAGTTTCAGGTTAAGAACGGACCTCCGGAAGGAATTAAGTACTTAACCCGAGGTACCACTGTACTTGATTTCACTTGCAACGAATAACACTTTTTAAAAGTTAAGCCAGGTTTCTAGTCCTAGGGGCTGCAAAGCATGTAGGCAATGTGCAATGAAATCTTCTGAAGGTGGAGGTTGCAATAGTAAGGACTGCATGGGCACAGTGGCAGAGGAAGAGGAGTGGGGGGGGGTTGCACCGCCCCTGGCAGCGCAATCCCAGTGGGGTGCCATCGTGGCTGCCCCCTCGCCCGTGCTGGGCACCATGCCCCTGCAGGCAGCATGCCATGCCCCCAGGCAGTGCAGCACTCCCCCAGGATGCGTACCAGCCCCACCCCCGTCTGCTCTCCGCCACTGCATAGGCACCACATATTTAAAGCACTTTAAATCTCATTACTTCCCTCCTAAAAAGAATACCGTATTTTTTGCTCTATAAGACTCACTTTTTCCTTCCTAAAAAGTAAGGGGAAATGTGTGTGCGTCTTATGGAGCGAATGCAGGCTGCGCAGCTATCCCAGAAGCTAGAACAGCAAGAGGGATTGCTGCTTTCACTGCGCAGCGATCCCTCTTGCTGTTCTGGCTTCTGAGATTCAGAATATTTTTTTTCTCGTTTTCCTCCTCCAAAAACTAGGTGCGTCTTGTGGTCTGGTGCGTCTTATAGAGCGAAAAATACGGTAATTCTGGGAACTGTAGTCTACACACTTCAAGAGCTACGATTGCCAGCACCCTTAAGGAACTCTAGTTCTCACGAAACCTTGTGGGGAGGAAGTACGGTGCTTTAAATATGTATTGCGTATGAAGTCAAGATTTCCGGAGGCCAGGAGCTCCATTCAAGTACACAACAATGCAGGCCTAGTTAATTAATGTTAGGAACCTGGAGCTGAACAGTTATCACAGCTGGGTGATCAAAAGTTATAAACGCACAGAAGGCACAGGTGAAGCATTTTAACACCCTCAGAGGAGAGGAGCCACCAACCTTCTCAGACCCAGGAACACTTGAACAGATTTTTCTCAAGGGAATGTGGCCCATGACATCGGCTAAACATTAGGAAGTTCTGACAGTAAGAGCTACTAAGGCAGTGGAACAGACTCCCTCGGGAGGTTGGGGAGTCTCCTTCCTAGGTTTTTAAGCAGAGGTTGCATCGCCAGCTGTCATGGACGATCTGGTTGAGATTCCTGCACTGCAGGGAGTTGGACTAGATAATCCTTCCAAGTATATGATTCTATGATAGGAGAGAGGTTAGAGAGTGGGAGAGAGTTGACCATCCTTTGTGGACCATCTTACTATACCAGATAGACACGGGTGGCACTGTAGTCTAAACCACCAAGCCTCCTGGGCTTGCTGATCAGAAGGTTGGTGGTTCGAATCCCCGCAACAGAGTGAGCTCCCGTTGCTCTGTCCCGGCTCCTGCCAACCTAGCAGTTCGAAAGCACACCAGTGCAAGTAGATTATTAAGTATCGCTGTGGCGGGAAGGTAAACGGCGCTTCCATGCGCTCTGGTTTCCGTCATGGTGTTCCGTGTGCCAGAAGTGGTTTAGTCATGCTGGCCACATGACCCTGAAAGCTGTCTGTGGACAAACGCCGGCTCCCTCGGCCTGAAAACGAGATGAGCGCCACAACTCCATGTTGGGAAACTGTGTACGTGCAGCTACTCACAGAGAGTCAATTAAGATTTGGCAGACAGCCAGAAGGCAATCTGAAGAAGTAAGTCTGCCTGGAGATAACAGAGACATGGAGACCGCTCCCTGATTGGTCAAGCTCTCTAAAGGGAGTGATAATTAATGGCCTACTAACTGGAATGAGTTTAGTGTTCAGAGGTTCAGGAGTTCTGTGTCAGTGTAGGAGTTGTGTCAGAGAGAGCTAGCATAAGATCCGTGTTCTGTTCCTGTAAATAGTCCACTGTATATAATAAACACCTAACTACAAGTTCCTGGTTCCTGCTTCGTCTATCCTGTCTGCAGCCAAGTCACCAGTTGCTTCCGTGGATTCTGCGTGTACTCTGCTAGGTCTGGCTAATGTCCTGCAACTAGTTGGAAAGTTGAGAAACACCAATAGGTTTTACCAATACTCCATAGTCACCTTTGACTGGACTTACAGGAGTCCTTTACTTTTTACCTTTTACCAGACAGAAAGAATCAACAAGCAACGGTTTCACTGCACACTAATTTTTGGGCATTTTCATCTCAAAAAATTAAAGAGTTGGCCTTTGAACATGTTAAATCTTCTCTTACCTCTAAAAAAAAATCCAAAATGGTGCTCCAACGCCGGGGAGGGAAAGGAGCTGCAACATGGACCCCTCAACACATGACCATGGACTTCTGCAGGTGGTGACAGAAAGAGTCATACTGCAACGGCAACAAGAGTTTTCCTTAATTTCAATTCATTAAATCTAGCACACGGGGGTCACTTTATCTAATTATGTAATTCAGTATTTGAACTCTTGGTATTAATAATTGTATAATAAACTGATGTTGTTATAATGAGGCTATTATTGGATTGCAGTTGAAAACTAATAATAAAAAATTATTACAATAGTTTCCCTTAGTTTCAGTAGAGGGGTTAATTTAAATGGGAACTGCTAATCCTGGAATGGCAAGCACTGGTTTCCCAACTGAGATTCGCTTCTGAATAACAGTGCCTGACCATGGCCCCATGTTCTCTGAAGCGCCATAATTTTAAAAACAAGTTAATGTTTTAACATATGTGGATTGGGAGCCAAGGGAGAAGCACCATGAAAGGATTGAAAATATAAGAGCAGAAACATTCCGTCAAATTAAAAACACCAACTTTTATTGTTTACAATGTCTTTAATGTAGTTTCTTGCAAAAATATAAGTCACCAAGCCACAGCAATGCGAATTTATCAAATGCTGCTCTGTGGAGCAATTCCTCCCCCTGCCACGCCCTCCCTTGCTATGAACATATTTTAAAGGCACTTTCGTCAAAACCTTTGAAGCTGAGAGCGCTAAAACGTATTCTCAGGTAATTCAATGTGGTTTCTATGACACCCCCCCCTCCCGATCTTCACACAAAGAGACAAAAACACACAGCAAAGCTATTTATGATGTGCAACTTAAAAGTTGCTTGCATAGTACGAATGTGCCCACTCCCCCTAACGACATCCTGGACCAGATTTGGACAAGAGTTTTTAAATGCTTTCCAAAGTCCAGTGAAGCCATAGAGAGATGGCAATTTATTCTGAGAGTTAAAGGCAGTGTGAAAGAGGTGTGTGCATGCTCTGCCCAATTTTACCATGGTTTAATTTATTTTTTTTTGGGGGGGTGCCTCTTATCACTCCCCAAACCCCAAAAAACTGACCTGAGCAGGTAGAACAGTGGGACAAAAAGAATATGTGCATACGCTGTGGGAAGCGAAGTGTTTCACAAACAACATGCTTTAGTTTCCCCCCACACGTATCCTGTGAGAACAGGATACTGCACTAGATGAACCACCGGCCTGATCTAGCACGATCCTTCTTATGTGCTTAATATTTAAGTCTCTTAAAAACTATTGTGTCTTCAGCTTGCAATATGTAACCTACATACCTGCTTTCTGAGGAAGAAAGACTAGAAATTTCCAGAAAGAGCAATTTTATTTCTGGAGGGTGGGCATCCCAGTAGCTCTCGCAGAGCTAAAAGACTGGTTATTTCAACAACAGGCACGGGTTGGTTGGTTTTATTTAGTTTCCTTAACTACTGGATACATAAAAATAATAGGGAGGCACTAATCTCCATAACTTTTTAAAAACCCACCATACTGAAGCATACAGCTGGGTTCCAAAGCTTGTTCACATATTACTTGGAAAGTGAATTACTGGTATTTCTTCCTCATATACAATACCACATTCACACCATACATTTAAAATAATATCATACCTCTTTAATAGACATGGACTGCGAACTGTAGTTTTGTGAAGGGTGCTGGCCTCACAGGGCTAGTTTCCCCAAACCCCTGAACTACAGTCAGCCTAGATACTTCAGCGTGGTTCTGATGACGCCAAGATTGCAGGTTCGATCCCCGTACGGGAGAGCTACAGTCTTGCATCGCAGAGGGTTGGACAAGATTATCCTTGGAGTCCCTTCCAACTCTACAATTCTCTGATTCTGTGATACAGTTCTTGGGGTTCTCCCCGTCTGTTCAAGTAGTATAACGGTGCTTTGAATGTATGGTGCGGATGCAAATGTCTTGGGTATATATGGGTGCACTGATCCACCACTGCAAGGAAAAAGTATGTCTGTGCTAGACTGTGGTGCTAGTGTGTGCATTTTAATACTCTTGCTTCCCTAACTGACCCCAGCCCACTCATTTCTTCTGGGGCTGCATTTCTTCAGGGAAATGCTCCATGCAAATATACAGCACAGTATGGATTCCTCCCCAAATACTTAGGTGAAAGGGCTGTAGAACAACCCAAGTCAATTACTATAGCAAGATGTATACCCACTATAAGAAATACCTGAACATTGGTTCAAAATGCACCTAGCATTTGATTGACTTAAAAAAAAATCCCAGGTTACTTCTCAATTACGGCACATTCCAGAGTGTTCGCAGTCAACTCCAAACACAAATGAGCATATTTAAAATGAGAGGAAGACATACACTTCCAATTACAGATATACAGTTGTTTTGCCCTCTTCCCACACACCCAATAGTAAAAGGCTAAGCATTTGGCTCAGTATGTTGAAATAAATAAAGAAGTTAAACCCAACATGCATGAATGAAACACACACACACACATTACCAGCTAAATAAAAAAGGGCTCAATTCTTTGTATTCCTCCCTCCCCCTTAATTATCCAATTAGAATAAGTCAAAACCTCTTCAAGTTAGGAAACTCAGGACCTGTTTGAACAACATTCTCCACAGAACAGGGTTGTACCTTCCTTTCCTCAACTCTTCTCACTGTGAAGAGAAATTAATGACTATGCATGAGATCCCCACAGAGATATTTAATCTTTTAAAAATATTCTCTCTAATGATCAGGGGGATCCTGCTCTTGAGTAAAGGCAAGGTTGCCTGGTTTAGATATTCACTTCTCTGTCTCTGCCTCATTTATGCTCCTATATACAAGGCATAAAATGAAGTGAATTGACTTATGTGCCTCCACAGAAATAGGAGGCTGTGCAGCAGAAAGCTAAAGTTAAAGCCCATCCTCATTCATTTATGGAGTCCTAAGAAGGTCCTGTGAATGGTTTTGAGCACGCCTGATGCTATAAACACAGATTCTGACATTCTGGAAGAAGTATTTAGTTCCCTCCCAACTCTATGAGCCTATGATTCTAAATTTTGTAACCTAACAGCACTGCAATCATGTCACCTCTCCACACAGACAGTACAGAGAGGGCAGGGAGTAAATACAACGTCCAAACAGGACCTGAGTTTCAATGGCATCCAGACGGATATTTTGAGAATTCACAAAAATATTTTAGGAGATGTCTTTATCTCCTCAAGCAATATACTAAAAAGGCCACCTTTTTAAGGAGCACACCAACATCACAAGGATGGTTTATACAAATCAAAGTGCACAAACCCCCTTTTTAGTCTGGTTTAAATGTGACTTTGCCTGCAGCTTGTATTGATGGTGTTAACATGCTATTAGGTTTTATATACAACCCCCTGCAAACTTTTCAATAACATGTTGCAAAAATAAAAACAGCGAATTTCACGTTTTAACACACAACACTGCAAGAAAAAAAATAATTGTTTTGTTTGACATTTATACAGTATTTAGTCCTTGGAATAGTAAACGTATCTGACAAAATATATATTTTTTTTAAAAAAAAGGAGACTACCTTATGAACCCAGAATTACAGACCTTTTGCCATTCCTCAGTGAGAAACAGATTGCATTGTAACAGTAAAAAAGGAATATGAAATTCAGCATACACGCATAAGGCAAACAAGAAATGGTACTTATGCAAGTCATTCCAAACCCCCCAATGTCAAGGACTTACAGGCATCATTGACAATGATGCTTTGTAGGCCCACTGACCTCAAGCAAGGCAGTTACATCACAAGTCAATGGTTCATCCACTGCTACAGACTACAGAGGCAGCCAACCCCCCCCCCGAAGAGTGGCAAATTCCTACTCACTGCTTAATAAGGTGCTTTCATAGAGAGTTTCTGTTTATTTAGTGAACCCCAGGTCCTTAGTCTATCTATTGCTGCGCCTTCCCTGAAATCCTACCGATTTGCATAGGTGCCGCTGCCTTGCAAATGGAAACGGGCTTCGTTGGCTTGCGAAATCTTTGGCTGCGCTGCACGCACTGCTACTTTGCGTGCTTCTAGAGGCAAGCCCATATTGCAAACTGGGAAGCACAGTGAATGTTGCTTGACCTTCCAATACACAAGGCAGTGCTCCTCAGGCTTTGAGAAGCACTTACCTTGAGCAATACCTGGCCTATTCATTCAAGTGTGGCAGTAGTTCCCCAGTGATCAAGAGGCTGAGTGTGCTCACAAGAGGAATGCTAACACTACACACAGATGGACTGACTCAGGTAAGCAAGTGAATTTTTAACAGGGCAAAATGCGCGTGGAATGCTTTTTGTGTGTCCATGGGCCACAACTCATATGTTTGGCCCCGAGTCTCAGGCTTGCATTCTGCCCCTCTACCTCTTTCCCTCACTGCAGGGAGAAAGCACTGCATGATCTCCGGACTATAGCATGCGTATTGGGATCTCTCTAACCATTCAGTTTGCCCCAAGACAGAAGGAGGACTTCAAGATCAACTTCAACGAGGCTAGAAAGATCCATTCGGATTGAAACAAATACTGTGCAGTCCAGTTCACTGTGCTTTTTGCCTGTGGTGGATAGATACCCACGTCAAACAGATAACTGGGTTGAGAACTTTGCTCTCAGAGTCAGAGCCTAAATATTTTTGTCACGCAAAGACACTTTTCAGGAAAAAGAGACCCAAAATATTAAAATTCCCTCTGCCAGCAGAACAGAATCGAAGCCCCCCCCTTTTTTTGATAATCCTAATTCTCTTCCCTCTTTTTAGGTGTTTCAATAGCTAAGAAGACAAGAACAATCCTGTCTGCAAGAATGGGGATCTGTATCAAAAGAGGTAAACTCAAAAACAATTTTAGCAGCATTTTCCGGTCCTTCATACGGTAACCACAGCACTGAATTTTCATAAACATTGCCCAATTTTAAAACTGAATGGGGGGAAATGGCCCATAATTGCATAATACACCATCCATTTTAAAGCAGAAGTATTTCCCAAGTTTGTGCTACTGCTATTTATAGTGGAGAACATTGCAGTAAGCAATGGGCACCGTCCACGATGCAACTCTCTTGCGCAAGCCCCACTGAGGCACAGAGGAGCCACATGAATGGATGGATGGTGCCTTCAGGCAGCTTTCAGACCTTCTTATGGGGCTAGCACAGAAAAACTTCCCAGTGGATTTTGCCCATATGTCACTACTATTCCCTGAAAAATTGACATATTTACGAACTCCTACAAACAGTTCTAAACTTTAAAAGAGAGACACACATAGCAAGAGTTTTGAGATTAAAATTCTTAATTGTCCATCCAACTGAAAGGCCTCAGAATGGCAAAATAAGGCATCCTTTTTTTCATGTTGATTGTAATGAAACAGCAGGGATAAAATTCTGATAGGATGAGCAGCCCCTGTTTAGGGTTCTCCAAGTCTTCTGTTGCACCTCTGCCATGCTAGCTCTTTGGTGATCCTATATCCACTGTGATTTTTGTATACAATGGGAATTTCTCAGTTCTTTCTACTGTGTATTTCAGACTGTTTAAGCCATCAGAGTTCATCGTCTCCTTTGTGTGAGCAATTTTGTTGAACCTGCAAGAACAAGAGAGATTCACTGTTGGGAAATCTTGATTTGCAAATAGAAGCTTCTTTTGCCTCCTTGAAAGGGTATTCGGGCTAATACGAAGAGAACAAAATATTTTATGTCCCAAATGCTCAAACCTAACATAAACATTTGTGCTGATATCACACAGAAATCTAGGAGACCAGCTATTGAACCAGCTAACAGTTTCAAGATGCAGTGCAAGCTTTCAAGTTTGACAAGGAAGAGTTAGGGCTCTGGGCTGAAAAGAGGCATAAAACAATCTCTCGCTTTTCCATTTGGCTTAGAGCCGAGAAGCCAGAGTAAACACGATGGTAGGGAGCAGACTTTTCCACCCGTGTGCCTGCTTCATTCACATCTAAAAGAGGAGGAGTAGTTTCGCTTTCTTACATAAAAAATTTGTGCAGGTGGACAACAGAACCCTCACCCCAAATTACCATACTTTTTGCTCTATAGGACGCACTTTTCCCCCTCCAAAAATGAAGGGGAAATGTGTGTGCGTCCTATGGAGCGAATGAAGGCTTTCGCTGAAGCCTGGAGAGGGGTCGGTGCGCACCGACCCCTCTCGCTCTCCAGGCTTCAGGCAGCTATCCGCAAGCCATCGGAGCACGGCGGGAGTTCCCACCGGGCTCAGAAGGCTTGCGGATAGCAGCAAGCTCCGGGAGCGAAGGCGAGGTTGCGCACAATCTCGCCACCGCTCCCGTACCCGTTCTGGGGTCGGCGGAAGCTCAGGTTTCCCCCACCCGCAGCCCGGCAAGCTCCAGGAGCCGCCGCTCCTGGACCCGTTCTGGGGGCTGGGGTCGGGGAAGCTCGGGCTTCCCCCGCCCCAGCCCCGCGGCTAAAGATGAAGCCAAGACAGCCAGCAGGATGGATCCCGCTCGCTGTCTTGGCTTCTTTACTCTTTGGGGCTGGGGGGAGGGGGAAATAATTTTTTTTCTTTATTCCCCCCCCCCAAATCTAGGTGCATCCTATGGTCCGGTGCTCCCTATAGAGCGAAAAATACGGTACTTCCTTGTGAACTATCACTTCAAGCATCTTTCTCTTCCAAGCTCAGCTCTGATGCTGAGGTGGAGCTGGGCTAGAGAGGAAAATATTTGAACTGCTGAGCAGAGGGAGAGGGAGATGGAGAATGGCAGGGTTATGTACCCCTCACCTGTACACCCTTTCCGTTGTAAAAAGGCAGCCCCCCACCTTGCTCCCCCCAGCAACCAATTCTAAATATGAGCAGGCCATACGAGTCTCTTCACTGTTAGATATTTAAATTAAAGAAAAGGAGAGCCAGCAAAATGTGGACGTGTTGTATCCAATGGTGTCCTTCATGCTGACGGAAAGCTCCTTTCACCCAGTCACGGCTACCATTTTCAGAAAGCAAGGTAGGCAATTTTTATTTTTATTTTTTTGCGAATTCCTGCCTCCTGTGAGCCTCCAAGGTCTGCTTTGAAGGAACTTCCTGAACAGTATGGGAGCTTGCAAGGAGGGAAATTGGAGGAAATCACCTCCCACTGAAGGAAGCCTTGCTAGAAGAAGAAGAAGAAGAGTTTGGATTGATATCCCGCCTTTCACTCCCCTTCAGGAGTCTCAAAGCGGCTAACATTCTCCTTTCCCTTCCTCCCCCACAACAAACACTCTGTGAGGTGAGTGGGGCTGAGAGACTTCAGAGAAGCGTGACTGGCCCAAGGTCACCCAGCAGCTGCATGTGGAGGAGCGGAGACGCGAACCCGGTTCCCCAGATTATGTGACTACCGCTCTTAACCACTACACCACACTGGCTCTCTTTATGCTAGATCATAAAGCCTGCTAGCAGCATGAGAGAGACCACCGGCTGCCACCCAGTACCACCATTTGAAGATGTTTGTACAGAACACAATCAAGAAGGACCTACCTCTGTGGGTTGGGCTCATTTTTGTTGTCTCTCGAATGGCGAATCATCCGACATTTCCCAACTGCAGCATCTGGGCGGGAGATTCTCATACCTTTGAAAACAATCCTGCAAAAGGCACACAAATAGAGAGGCTGTTGTTATAGAAAAGCATAGCTATGCTTTAAACCAGGGATGGGATGGGAAGCCTGTGGTCCTCCAGGTATTGTTGAACACCCCTGGTATAGCCAGTATGGCTAATGGTCAAGAGTACTATAAAGTCCAACATCATGTGGAAGGCCACAGTTTCCTCATCCCTGCTTTAAAGATGCCCATGGAACAAAACATAGCAGTCCAGCTGAAAGTAGTTTATGAAATGAAAGTTAAATAATGTTATCACTTATTTCGCTATAAGTTTATAGTACACTTATCTCATTAATGCAATACACCTACAAGTCACTTTCACAAGTATATATAAAGAAGATATATAGATCAGTGTTTACTCTGTCTACATGCTGGTTCAATCCCTGTGAATTCTGATGGCACTACCTCACTGTATTGGGCTGAAGGCTGACCCAGAAAGAAGTCCATATCTTCTTAAAAATGCAAATTCTAATGTAACTTTCCCCAGTCATAATTAGTAAGCCAAGAGATATTTGGCAGCTGCAGCATCAGGAAATACAGATTAAGTGCCAAGACTCTTGGAAGGCTTCCACAACAATTTTTGTTCAGCAAACTGTTCTCTGCCTGTCCCCTGCTCCATAATGTTATGTCCTTTATGTTCTCAAAGCTCTTCCCAGACCAGGCCCCATGGATTTCAGAAACTGCCTCTCCCTAGCCAGGCCCTGCTTTATATTCCTACTCTGTATGAGGTTGAGAATTGTTGTGCCTAGGAAGTAGGGCCTTGATATCTGTTGCAGAAATGTTGTGGCTATCATCTCCTTCTGGTAGGCATAGAGTTATGTTGCCGCACACACACTGAAGGCTCCTGCCACGTTAACAAAACTGTGGTTTCCAAGTCATAAGCAGTATTAGTTCCTGTTTATTCCACATTAGTCAGACACTGCCTGTGTAGACACTATATCTTTAAAACACATTTGAAGTACAGTCATACCTTGGGTTGAAGTAGCTTGGGGGTAAGTATCTTCAGGTTGCACGCTGCGGCAACCTGGAAGTAACGGAGCACGTTACTTCTGGGTTTCACCGCTCGCACTTGCGCAGACGGTCAAAAGGATGTCACACGCATGTGCAGAAGCGGCGAATCGCAACCTGCACAGACGCGGGTTGCGTTCGCTTCTGGATGTGAACAGAGCTCCGGAACAGATCCTGTTCGCATCCAGAGGTACCACTGTACTTTCACCCCCTCAAAGAATTCTGGGTACTGTAGTTTACTCCTCACAGAGTCACAGTTCCCAGCAACCCTTCACAAAACACAGTGCCCAGAATTCTTTGAGAGGCAAAGTGTGCTTCGGATGTGTGTACACAGTCACCGTCCGGGGCACTGTGTTTAGTTTGTGCACTGCAGTTTAAGAAGTGGTAAGAACAGTTCAACTATGGAACAGTTTCCAAAAGGAATTGGGGGCTCTCTTCCTTTAAGCAAGAGTCAGGATGCTTTTGCTCTGGGTTGGCTACAAGCCTCCATGCCTGCCCTTCAACTCTTACAGTTCAGCCCAGCTTTTAGTCTGTACAACTCATTTCATTTGACTTTTAGTTTTGTTGGACGACTTTTCCCAACTCCCCAACTTTTGTGCTTCCATTGTGTTTTTCAGCTATGGGTGTGAGGGGGGTAGAAGTGGCACTAACTAAATAAATAATTGTCAAGAGATGTTTACCTTCTCATGTCAAGAACGGCTCACCTTAAGGAGCACTGAAATAAGAAGTAGCTGAAAACATGTCTTCAGCCTAGCAATAAAGGGCTTGAGGGCTGAAAAGCAGGTTTCTGAGCAACAGTGGAAAGGGGAAAAGAGGTACTCATGGTCTTGTAACTCTGCTTTTAACTTTTAACAGAGTTAACATTTGGCTTAACGTTTAGCGTCACGGCCCTCTGCCATTACTGGAACGCCCATTCTTTAAATGAAATGAAAATATACAATAAGGATTCTTCTGATCACGCTCAGAGTTCCTTTGGCTTCTGACAGTTCCAACATCCTGTGCTCAGCACACTTAGAATTAAAAGAGTAGGAAGTCTGTCCAGGGTTCCCAGAGTCCCAGTAACCTTTATTTTGAGAAAACGAAACAGTGAATTCATTTCCTTTGACAGTATTCTTAAAACACCATCTACATTTTTTAAAAAAGGATTTAAGACTTAGGCATCTTAAATTCCCATACTGTTGCGGCAAGAGTATTGTTAGCCCAGAAATGGAAACAAGAAGAAATTCCGACGAAAGAAGAATGGCAGACAAAATTAATAGACTATGCAGGATTGGACAAAATGACAGGAAGGATTTGAAACCTGCGGGACCAGAGATTTACAGAAGATTGGAAGAAGTAGATGAATTATTTGAAGAGCAACTGTAATCAACAAATTACGCTAGTAGGACTACAAGAAGTTTTGTAAGGAGAAATATACAAAGTGTTACAAAGTAGAAAAAGATAGAGATATTGGTTATGAGTCTGAAATGTAATAGGGAAGATAAGAAATGCATACTGAGAGATTAGATTAGAAAATTTTCAGACAGGATTGATGGAAGTCAAAAATTTGAATAAGATGTAAAAGTACCGTATTTTTTGCTCTATGAGACTCACTTTTCCCCTCCTAAAAAGTAAGGGGAAATGTGTGTGCGTCTTATGGAGCAAATGCTGGCTGCGCAGCTATCCCAGAAGCCAGAACAGCAAGAGGGATTGCTGCTTTCACTGCGCAGCGATCCCTCTTGCTGTTCTGGCTTCTGGGATTCAGAATATTTCTTTTCTTGTTTTCCTCCTCCAAAAACTAGATGCGTCTTGTGGTCTGGTGCATCTTATAGAGCGAAAAATACGGTATGTTTAATTACTGTTGAAAATGATATGTTAAAAAAAAGTAATAAAAAATTATATTAAAAAAATAAATAAATTCCCATACTATTGTGCCTGCAATCCATACTCCCCACTTTTTCTACTCCTCCGAAGACATGGACATCCTGGCATTCCTATGTAAAGACTTCCTGGAACTTCCAAAGACTAGCTTCATACTTCCCTACAGTACTAGTGAAGAGGAAGCAAGCTTTCAAAGAGCCTGAATGGAAACATTTGGCTGCCAAAGGCTTGACCTTGACAGTGGGAAGACAGACTCTTGTTTGCTCTGCAGCTTAGTGAGCGGCGCTAAAGAGACAAGGAGAACAGTGACCCCAGCGCAGTGGAGAGCAGCAGACTGTCCCAGGATCTCCTGCTTTCTGCCAGCTCCGTTTGACAGCGAGCCAGGAAGAAAAGGGAAACAATGGAGGAGCTCCATTCCCTGGCCCTCTCTGGATACAAGCCACTGCAGGCTAATGTCTGGAGTTCAAGCTGAAATACAAACAAGTTACCGTATTTTTCGCTCTATAGGACGCACTTTTCCCCCTTCAAAAATGAAGGGGAAATGTGTGTGCGTCCTATGGAGCGAAGACGCCATAGCCCCGCGACCCTCTCCCAGCTGGAGAGGTGACGCGTGGCTATGGCAGGAGCCTCTATAGCCGCGCGTCACCTCTCCAGCCGGGAGAGTGCGCATGGGGCTAAAGAAGCACCCCGCAACCCTCTACCGGCTGGAGAGGTGACGCGCGGCTATGGCAGGAGCCTCTCCGCTGCACCTTTCCGCTGCTCCCTGACCTGCTCTTTGGGGCTGGTGGTGGGCTTCCCCCCGCCAGCCCCAAAGAGCAGGTCGAAAGGAACCTGAAGCCTGGAGAGCAAGAGGGGTCGGTGTGCACCAACCCCTCTCGCTCTCCAGGCTTCCAAGGTAGCCGCCTGAACGGACCTTAAACGGCACCTTGTTTTAGAGTGGGAAAACAAGGGGGGGGGGAATTCTCCCTCTCTCTGCGCAGCGCCTCCTGCCGCTTCGCTGAAGGGGCGCTGGGCAGAGAGGGGGAGAATTTTTTTTTCTTGTTCTCCCCCCTCTAAAACAAGGTGCGTCCTATTGTCCGGTGCATCCTATGGTGCGAAAAATACGGTAAGCTATTTGCTAATGTCACAGCCAGAAAGGCAGGTGTGGCAGCTGGGGACAGGTTACATAGCCAGCAGGATTTCTTTCACCACTTCCTGGCACATGCTTGTAAGCAGCCACTTTCTTGGCCAACTATGGGATGTTAAGAAGCGCCTCCTATAGTAAGTGCACATAAGGAATGGGATTCAGTGTCACACTATGACGAATGTCCTGCTTATTCAAACATTTCAGTTTGCCAGACGAGCAATCCCTCTCTCCTCCTCCTCTAAACAGTGAAAGAAATCTATATTAATTGGGAGACACAGAAGAAGAAGAAGAGTTTGGATTTGATATCCCGCTTTATTACTACCTGAAGGAGTCTCAAAGCGGCTAACATTCTCCTTTCCCTTCCTCCCCCACAACAAACACTCTGTGAGGTGAGTGGGGCTGAGAGACTTCAGAGAAGTGTGACTGGCCCAAGGTCACCCAGCAGCTGCATGTGGAGGAGCGGAGACGCGAACCCGGTTCCCCAGATTACGAGACTACCGCTCTTAACCACTAGACCACACTACACCACAGGAGCCTTACCTGTTATAAATGTCATCATCTTCACCACCCCAGCCCCAATAATTATTGGGAAAGCCATTGATTTTTTGGAATTGCTCCTTGCTCAAAGCAGACACTCCTCCAAAATACTGATTGTAAGGCAAGCTGAAAGAGAGAAAGGCAACTCATCAAAAAAATTAGTTTTTGCTATCACCAAGATGTTAGGATTGCTCGTCTAGTTGCGATTGTAAGCTAACGTATTAATAATTGCATTAATAAGAACAGTAACAACAACAAGTATTTTATTATTTGTACCCTGCCCATCTGACTGGGTTGTCCCAGCCACTCTACGTGGTTTCCATTAAAGCAATTATAAAATGTAACATCAATAAATGCCATAGAAATATGTGCTTCAACACACACACAAAATCCTCATTGCCTTAAAGAGAATAATCTATGTTTCTAAAGATCAGGATGTAGTAAGCTCAGAATTAACTTAAAACCTTCGCTCACCCCAGGTTGGACTATTATGAGTTGGAATATTATTGCACTAAATGAAGGCAACTGGTTTTAATTCCCTGCCCTATCAGAAATACAGCAGAACGTAATAACTGCATAGTGATCAGCATTCTTTTCTTTTGTACTTAGCACATTACGCACCTCAAGACTTCACTTTTCAGGCAATCATCTTCCCACCAATATAGCAACAGCTCATTTGATATCTCCAGAACTTGTTCCTAATGAGGTTGCACACATAACCTGCAAGCATTTTCAGGCCTAATTCAGCCACGACAATAAACCATAATTTCCTGTTACATGTTCAAGCCGTGATGATCTTGCCTTTACCCCCTTTCTCTCTTCTCTGTCAAGTGCCAGAGGAGAAGTGAGTGCAGGAAAAGAGCAGCTCATTCATATTATGGGAAACAAGGCTTCCCCATTACATCTAAAATGGACCTCAGACCTTGATTCCCACAAGGCAAATGGTTTTATTGTTGTTGTTTTTTTAAAAAAGCATCATTATTTTTTATATAAACTGTTCTGAGAGCCTCTTGGCTGAAGAACAGTAAGTAAAGTATCTAAAGAAACAAATAAAAATATACTTTAGGCAAACAGATCACAGATTTGAGAGTAGAGCAGTTCCAGAGAAGAGGGAAGTAGGCTACTTTGGAACATAAGTAATCCAAGTGTAGAGTGAGCAAGCCAACATGGATAACATTAATCCACTGTTGATATTAACAGCCATGCTATTATTATGTGATTTTTTGCTAGCATCGAATAAATGTTAGCAATTGATCTCTTACCGGAATCCAAATTTATCCATCGACACAGAGAGGTGCCTGGGTTGACTGTAACACTTGTATATATTTCTGTCATCCATAGGGATTAGGTCAACATCGCTGAATACAAAGCAGTCATAATCGTATTCTTTCAAAGCTTCTGTGAAGCCTATGTTCAGAAGCTTTGCACGGTTAAATGTTGCTTCTCCACCCTAATGTAAGAAAGAGAAGGGCTATTAAGCACAGTCAATAAAAGCTGGTTAACATTTACTATTTATTATAGGTCTGGCCCTTCACAAGCAGTAATGTAGACATGAGGGTGGCAAAGTTCTCTCAAACGTTTCATTCAACCATGTTTTTCTGTTCAGTTTAGCTTAAAATTATAAAATCAGCTGGTTCAACCCGAAAGAAGCATGCTTTTTCCAGGGTCTTGCTTGTTTTGCATTCCACACAGACCTCTCTTGAAACCTTGGGGAGGCTGAAATCATATGCACCAAGTCCCTATCACTGTAAGGAATTTCACAGCTTTCCAACGTCCTAAAATATTCTCTTCCACAGAGAAGGCCTGTTCTCGTGTTGCCACCCTCTGGACCTCTTGAGGAGGAGACACACAAAGAAGGGCCTCAGAAGATTATCTCAGGGTCCGGGTAGGTTTGTATGGAAAAAGGCAGTCCTTGAGGGATTGTGGTCCTGGGCCATTTAAGGCTTTATAGGTCAAAACCAGTACCTTGAATTGGGCCCGGAAACTGATTGGTAGCCAGTGCAGTTGGACCAGGATCGGTGTAATATGCTCAAACCGTCTTGCTTCTGTGACCTGGCCACTGAATTCTGCACTAGGTGGACAGTCGCTCCAGAAGGATATCGAAAGCCACTGAGAGGTCAAGAAGAATTAACAGGGACATGTTCCCCTTGTCTCTCTCTTGACGGAGGTCATCATACAGGGTGACCAAGCAGTTTCTTTGCCCAGACCAAGCCTAAACCTTGTCTGGTCTGCAACCACTCGCTTATAAACCACTTAAATTTTGGTATGAATAAGAAGCTTATTTTCCTTATTAAAGGCCTTGACTTCTCCCTGAAGTTCACAGGTGACCCCATTTTTGTCTCCAGTCGTGGTTTGTACTTTCCCTAATGAGGCCTCCCGCTGCCGGTGCCCTTCCACCGTTCAGATTCCGTTCTTAGACCGAGGTAAAGTTTGAAAACAAGGACACTACTTCCGGTTTTGCTGAATTTGAAAACCGAATCGTTCATAAACAGGACTGTTCTTCAACCAAGGTACCACTGTATAGGAAATTGATAAGGACTCATTTCCTCCCAGTAAGTGATAGGTTAGAAGTGGTACCTAACCTCTATAAAAAGGGTTTAGTCCTATAGAAGAGGAGGAAGATATTGGAGGCAATTTGGATCACACTCAGTACAAATACTGAACATCTGGTGCAGCTGTGCTTATTACTTTATTTATATATGTGTGTAAAAGAGTTACTCCTCCTGAGGAGTACAATAAATGGTATTATGTGGAGTGGTACCTCCCTGAGGTCCTCGATTTAGGATTAGTTGTGTACTTGACGAGATCCCATATTCAAAATAAAACATTGCATCTTCTAGATTAGAAGGTAGCTAGTAAACCTTCTCTCTGTAGGAAGTGAAGCGGGAGAGAAAGGACGCTGAGTTCTCAGCTTCATTCTGGGATATTATTCTTGGAACCAAAGTAATAAGCAAGAAGGCCTGTGGAGACTGATAAGAGGAAATACAAGGAAAAACCTGTTTTTTGTTTTTAAAAGATTGGGACAGGAGGATGCTGCTGTATTTTGGGAGTTCCCTAATTTTCATGTAATTCATACTGGTTTTTTAATGCAATACAAGGGAGTAAAAGATACCTGAAGGTGCTCTCAAATCTGCCTTATTCTTATAGCTATTTTAATAAGTAAATGGTTTCTGCAATAATGTATTGTCAGTTTGTTTTCAGAGTTTCTAAATTGTAATCTGCTCTGCTCTGACTTTCAAATATAATGAAGTTGTTCACAAACTTGGCAAGAATTTCAGGATTCTTAAATCCTTAAATCAATGAAACTAAAAAGTGTCCTTGCCAATTTAAGGAGGATATAGGACATGGCTGAAACCACACGTTTCTCTTATTTTAATTAACCCTTCAGGAAAACCAGCTAGGGCCGACTGCACACACACACAAAACAGCTCTTGATTATTATAGAAACATAAAAACCAAATTGTAAGAAAGGAGAATTAAAATGCTCATTCAAGAAAAGTTTCTCATGAGCAAGTATTTCAGAAGTATATTAGGAGATTGGTTTGTTTCCAAAAGTACTAGAGAAAACTGTTCTAAAAATTATGTATGTCTAGCAAATTCCAGGCCAGAATAGCTTTCATAAATGCTATGAGACTGACTTGGTGCTCAGCTTACTAGGGTTAAACAGAGATTAATTGACCACATTTTAGAGGGGTCTCACATTTTAGCCCCAACAACTGTATAGTGGATGTAGGTAAGGCAAAGAGAGAGCAAACCTCATCTACTGGTAGATCTCTGGGTAATTTGCAGTAGATCACAAAGGATTTCTGGCTCCCCATTGGTTAACAAAAGCAACTCCATCACCAAATTAGGCTACTGAAACAGAGAAAGCTAGGGGGGACGGGACTGGGAATGGATATTTGAGCAAAGGCCTGTGAGCTCAGTTCTGGTAATGAAAAGATAATCCTGGGCTGAAATGACCCCAAGGTGTCTTGCTCCTTAATTCAAAGTGCATGCAGGCTGTTTCTTTAAGCCAGTGTTTGGCTCTAGTGGGTGGACTTCATGGTTTGAAGTAAAAGCAACATAGACCTTGCAAGCTTAAAGTCTGTCCAGCCTGACACTGCCTCTCTCATTTCTATGTAACTGCTAAATTAATTTAATATTCTATATTATAGCTTCCCCTGTGAAATTGTTACTTCTCAAGTCTTCAGAAAGGAGAAGGGCAGATGGGACTTCCGGGGAGGCGCCTCCAGCAATGGCTGGATTCCTCTGATTGGGAGGAATCAGCTCCGTGGAAATCTGGGTTTGGCCGCCACGGCGAAGGCGGAGACCTGTTAAAAATCACAGGCGGGAGAAGCCTGTGAGCGTGAGATTCGGCGGGCACCATTTGCGCCTCCCCCACTCGCGGGGAAACCCGGTTTTGGGGATCCGGAGCGACGTGGGGTGAGCGGCGTGGTGCTTCGAATCGTCTGCTTCTTCCATGGAGCGAAGCCGCATAGCTGTTGTCGGAGAGTGCTGACTTTTTCCTGTGGACAATTTGACTCTAAAGTAACTACCCGTGAGTAGAGCTTAATTGGGAAGATTGGATTTAAAAAAACAACAACGTCTAATTTGGCATCGAAACAGGGAAGGTTCAATACAGGAAGTCCACCTTCCCCTTTTGTAAGTAGACTGAAGCAATGGAAGCTGCAAGCTGAAGTCTTGGAAAGCCTTTTGTAAAAGACTAAATTTCAATAAGTAAAGAATATAATCCCCCCCTTGGAGGCAGGAGAGGGGGGAGGGAAGTTGTCAACTGAGTTTGCCTGCGGAAGAGACCAAGAGAGGTAAAACACCGCCGCTCGGACCCTGGGAACGGGCTGCTAGAAGGTCCGACGTTTTGGTGAGACGTTTATTGACAGTGCTTGGATCGTGTTGACAGCTAGCATAAGAGAAGACACAAGGTTTCTACTGTTTCCAGCAGTGAAAGTAACTGAAAATTGAAATTAGTTTGGGGTCGTTTGAACTGTGCTTTAAGAGGATACTATTTATCAATACAAATAGAAACTGTTTCCCTCTAGTGGAAGTTCTTGAAACTGGCGGCTATACAAGATCTGGGCTAGGAAATTTCCATTTGTAAGATAAAAACCGTGAGACTGTGAGTTGACCTTGAATCTATTGAGAGTTATGGCAGATGTGAAAGACGGAATGTTGCCAGGAGAGGCCTTAGTGATTGTACTAGTGAATATAAATGATTCGCTGGAACAGCTTCCAAGAAAATGGATGTGATAAATATGAAAATGGATGCTGCAAATATTAAAAATGATTTAATGGTAGAAAGTTTAAATAACCTGGGACAAAAGGTGAATATTAATACAGAAATCACCCAGAAATTGATTCAGGAATCCATCCTGACACGGCAAACAGCGGATGAAGTTAAGGAGGAAACCCTCGCTGCTGGAGTTAAAGTAATTCAACTGGAGAGAGAGAGAGTCCCATCCATACAAGGACGATTTGATGAATATGAGCTGACACCTGATATGACTGAACTTAAAGAGAAACAGATGAAATTGAAGATCAGAGCCCACCCGAGGAAAAGGAAACCTTGATAGAGTTTCAGGAGGAGATAGGACTAACATTGGTTGAGAAAGAGAGGTATTGGGGGGTTAGCATGACCGCCAGAAATGTGAATTTATTCAAGGGCAACTGTGAAGGACGTTGGCTTGAAGACAAGGGGGATTTGGAAATAGGACTAAATTGGAAGTTGCTATTGTTGGGTCGAGTTGCTGTGGTGGGGACGAGGGTTGCGGTGAGGTTGGGGATGTTGCCTTGGTTTCAAACATTGCAAGTTTTGGATGGGAGGGATTATTTCAGGAGGTGGCAGAGGGATGTCTCTAGATCTGTATGGCAGGGCAGGAAGCCTCGAGCAAAATTTAAGATATTAACGGATGCTAAAGAAGGAGGTGGACTTGCCCTGCCAGACCTCTAAATTTTGTTGTGAATCATCTGCTTTTTGCTGGCTAAGAGAATCGGCAGAATCCGAGACCAGGGAGAAGAGCTGGTGGAAGAAGACTGGAAGTTTAAAGATTATTTATAGAAATATTGCAAAATTAATGAATGTTAGAACAAAGTGGGAATGAAGTTATATGGCTTTAGCAGAAATGTTATAAGGAATTAAGTATAAATAGATTAATTGAGCATTAAAGGGAATAAAATAAGGTTAGAATGTGCTAAGATAATTATAGGATAGAAAACAGAGGAAGATGGAAAGGAATTGCTGAAATCATTAATTGATGTGGAATACAAAAAGGGAGGTGTGAGGAAGTCGTGGAAATAAGCGAATGAAAGATATGACATTGAAATTGTTTAAAATGGTCTTTGTTTTGTTTTATTTGTCTTGTATTGTATTGTGTTGTTTTTTGTTTGTTGTTTCTTTTCGCTTTTTTGCTTGTTTAACTTTTTTTTCTGTAACTTTTAAACTCTTAATAAATATTATTTTTTAAAAAAAAGAAAGGAGAAGGGCAGATGAATTTAACAAAGCAAAGTGTTATCAGCAAGTTTGCACTTGTTCACCATAGAGGCGTAATCTCACAACCCATTTGCTATCGGCATGGCTCAAGTCCAGACACATGAAAGGAAGAATCCCAGTTGGGTTATGTGAAATGGCACTGAACCTTTACGGACAGAAAAGCTTTGTAATAATGACCCCTCAAGCATAGCCCTACTCACCCATCCAAGATACTAATGGCAGGACAAACGTAGCACCACAGCTTCCATGACTTCTCACAGCTTCCAAATAAACACCTTCTGGGTGTGTGTTTGCCCAGCTAATACCTAATTTATGTTTACGTCATATCAAGCAAACAGGCGTTCCGTGCAGAAAAACACTGATAACAATGCAGATAGCACTGAAACCACAATTCATGCCAGCATTCAAGGTTAGCATTGGAAAATGCTGCAGGACAGGAGAAGCCGTACTGAAGAGACAACAGGTGCTCTTTCTTCTTTAAGGCTTATCGTGACAATCTTGCAACTCTCTCTTCCGTGACAGTAGAGTTGTATTGCTAGGCCTTCACCCTCTTTAAAGCCTATTTAAATGTATACTCTCCAGAACAGGATTTTTAATAGTAGCAGCAGAGTAACATTCAGTTCAGAAATAATTAGGCATTTTGAGAGGACAACCTTCTGCCTGGTTACCACTCAGAGAGAGGGAGATTTGTTACTACAGTTCAGTGGTACCTCGGGTTACATACACTTCAGGTTACATACACTTCAGGTTACAGACTCCGCTAACCCAGAAATAGTACCTCGGGTTAAGAACTTTGCTCCAGGATGAGAACAGAAATCGTGTGGCGGCAGCAGGAGGCCCAATAGCTAAAGTGGTGCTTCAGGTTAACAACAGTTTCAGGTTAAGAACGGACCTCCGGAACAAATTAAGTACTTAACCCGAGGTACCACTGTACTACATTTGTTAGTTGTGTCGGCATCCCACCCCCCCACCCCCCAAAAGAAGTGACTTAGAGGATAAAATACAACAGTTAAGATATGCTGGGTGAACATTATTATGTTAAAATGTGTACAGTGGGAGACAGCAGATCCTACCAAAACCTTTAAGATAACTGCATAGGACACAGGAAGTATGTGCCTTATCATGAATCAGAACATTGGTCCATTTAGTAGATTACTACAGGGTTGGAGCGTGGGGAGGACCTCGGGGGGTTTGTAGCCCCAGGTGCATGATTTTGAGGGGGTGCGAGCCAGGCACCCCCACACATGGATTCCTGCCCTGCCTGCTGCTGAGGGTCTCCATGTCCCCAGCCCCCTTGCTGAATGGCCACAAAAATAAAAAGGGTTAACAAAATGATGTAGATTGTGGAAGATCGTAACACAAAGATGACTTGGTTGCTGCCCAAAGTAGCACCCCTTTATGGCCCTCTCCTCTTTCCCCACTAAGGTGGGCAGCTAAGAGGGGGAGTTGAGAAGACCTCAGGTAAAATCTCATCTCATCCATGAATTCAAGAGTGCAGCACAGGAAGGAGTTAGACAACCTGTCTATACAACCTTGGAACATTTGGTCTGTTGTAATCTCAGAGAAGATAATGTCCAGTCTACAATTGATACAGGGTAAAGCAAAACCACAATGCGTATTTTAGTGCAGTATGGTGGGACTTTATTCAATTTACCATGGATCAAAATATGTACATCTCTTTGCCAGAAATAGCCAAATCTATATGGATGTCATAGACCATGCACACAGACAATTTGGCAATTGTCTCACATCCCTTTAGTTATATAATATACAGTGGTGCCCCGCAAGACGAAAAACTCGCTAGACGAAAGGGTTTTGCGTTTTTTGAGTCATTCTGCAAGACGAATTTCCCTATGGGCTTGCTTCGCAAGACGAAACATCTTGCGAGTTCTTGCGAGTTTGTTTCCTTTTTCTTAAAGCCGCTAAGCCGCTAATAGCCATGCTTCGCAAGACGAAAAAACCGCAAGACGAAGAGACTCGCGGAACGGATTAATTTCGTCTTGCGAGGCACCACTGTATAACGATACTGTATGAAGTGCTCACCCACACCAATGTAACAGCAGATAGGTTTGGTTTTATATAATCATCTTGAAAATCAACAAAAAATAACTAACAAACCGTGAGCTCATTAGGTGGATTTAATGAAGCCCCTATTGCAGCTTTGGCTGCTCATAAGCACCTGCCTCAGTGTATATGAAGCCCTCTGTATATTGGAAATGCACTATTAAAAACGTTTATTAATGCTGACTGTGCTTCCTTTTAGGGAAATTTAAACATAACAAACCAAGATTCCCTGGCATTGTTTTCTAGCGGTTAATCCCCTCTTTGAATGAATTGTGTTGGTTCCAACTCCCCCCACCTCTTTCCCTAGTGCAATAAATAACCACAGGGGAAAAATTGCAGGAAGGAAATCACAAGCCAAGTGCCTTAAGCAAAGGATTCGGATATAAAAGCCTTTCATGCACATCCTCCTCCTTTTCACATGCACTTAAGAAGAAGCCATCTCACCAGAGACAACCAACTTTCACTTCTGTACACTTCCATATCTTGATTATGCTTTAATGAACTGACACCTTTATCATTTATTTAAATGCAACAAGGTTATAATGCAACAAGGTTAAATTCTTGCCAAAGAAAGGTTTGGGTGGGTTCAAGGTCCTAAAGATATTTAGAGAACCCTTAAGCTCCTGTAGAATGTCAACTAAATGGCTGGGTGAAAGGCTACCAAAATTCTAAGCTGCAGCCCTAAACACAAATTTTTGAGAAAGTAAGCTCAACGGAACTCATACAGAGGATTTTACTGTAAAAAAACAAAAGCTATTCTGAACCACAATTACATTCACTGAAATGTAAGGTGAAATACTCTTCAATATATTGTTTTTTTACCATATTGTAATTGTGTGTGTGTAATTACATACATACCGTATGTATGTAAATGTATGTTTGCACTTCCAATTTTCCTTTTTTCCTAAATAAGCATTATACAGATAAGCAGGGCAGGGGGGTTGCTCATGGCACTCACCAATAGAGAGTACTGTCACCTCTTTTTTGCTGCCATTTTTTGCTGGCACCCACAGCACTTCCACGAAGTACAGGTTGTTGTTTTTTAAACAAAGGCTCTGAGCTTGGGGGATAAGGTGGGGAAAAACCTGAAAGTATGAAAATCTACTGAATCTGCATAATGTATACAGGTCGTAGGGTTCAGTTTCTTGGGTCAGAATCTGAACTGTTTCCTTTTTTAAAAAGGGCAAAATACTTGGCTTAAAATGCTCTGGGGTAACTTGCTTGCTGCTTTGTGACAGGCTCTTTCCTGAGGCAAAATCAACATAGAAAAGAAATTAGGAAACAGAATATCTGCTAGTTCATGTGTAACAAGAAATGGAGAAGTGAGGTTGGACACAGCGCTGAAACCTGACGAAGTGAAACAGAACATAAGGAGAGAGATTTGAACCAAGAAAATAAAACTCTATCTTAAAACTATTTTCAAGACAAGACAGCAGTAAGGTTCCTCCTGGGTCTTGCACTGACCTCCTCCTTTGGGGGCGGGGGGAAAGGAACAGTCCAAAATTGTGTTGCCCAAATTTAGCTGCGTATTAATTTAGCTGCGCTCGTTTCTCTCTGGTCGGGGACAGAGGGTGGCGCTTGGGGGGGAATTGTCATCGCGCCACTCCTTGGTGTGTGGAGTACCTCAGGGTGCGATACTCTCCCCGATGCTTTTCAACATCTTTATGCGCCCCCTCGCCCAGCTTGTTCGGAGTTTTGGGCTGGGTTGCCATCAGTATGCCGATGACACCCAACTCTATCTGTTGATGGATGGCCATCCTGACTCGGCCCCAGACACACTGACTAGATGTTTGGAAGCTGTGGCTGGATGGTTTCGTGGGAGCCGGTTGAAGCTAAATCCTTCGAAGACAGAGGTCCTGTGGCTGGGACGGGGCGATATGGGATTGGGGGCAACTCCCATCTCTTGCGGGGCGCAATTAGTGCCAGCACCGTCCGTTAAGAGTTTGGGTGTAATCTTCGACACCTCCCTTTCCATGGAGGCGCAGATTGCAGCTACAACAAAGGCGGCATTTTTCCATCTCCGCCAAGCTAAGCAGTTGGCTCCTTACCTCTCTCGCCCTGACCTAGCCACTGTGATCCATGCGACGGTCACCTCCAGACTGGATTATTGTAACTCGCTCTACGTGGGGCTGCCCCTGAGACTGACCCAGAAACTCCAGCGGGTGCAGAATGCTGCAGCGAGATTCCTTACGAGGTCTTCGCTGCAAGATCACATTCACCCGGTGCTATACCAGCTGCACTGGCTCCCGGTGGAGTACAGGATCAGGTTTAAGGTGCTGGTTTTAACCTTTAAAGCCCTATACGGCCTAGGACCCTCGTACCTACGGGACCGCCTCTTCTGGTATGCCCCATGGAGGACCTTACGGTCTGCAAATAAAAACACCCTGAAGGTCCCAGGCCACAGAGAGGTTAGGCTGGCCTCAACTAGAGCCAGGGCTTTTTCGGCTGTGGCTCCAATCTGGTGGAACGCTCTGTCACAAGAGACTAGGGCCCTGTGGGACCTGACATCTTTCCGCAGGGCCTGCAAGACAGAGCTGTTCCATCAGGCCTTTGGTCAGGGCGCAGCCCGACTCCCTCCTCCGGCAACCTGCACAGAATTTTGCTTAACGGTTGCCATTAATTTGATTTTAATTAATTTTTATAATGAAATGTTTTTAGAATGTTGGATTATTTGATTGTCTGATTATTTGATTGTTGTTAGCCGCCCTGAGCCCGGCTTCGGCTGGGGAGGGCGGGATATAAATAAAATTTATTATTATTATTATTATTATTATTATTATTATTATTATTATCTACTCCATACAGAAGCAACAGAGCCATTGTCTGTTTGCACAACACACACAACTTCTGCTGTGGGCTGCAGAATCAAAATACATTTGCAGTCCATCCAAGTTTGGTCTGGTGGTTTTGGGTCAACTGATCCATCTGCCATGTAAGTAACATAGACAAACTGAACACTTGGAAACAGTTCAAGAAGATGTAAATATTAAAAGCAGGTCAAAGCTGGCATTCAGCTGGGCAAGAGAACATTTACATAGGAAAGATTTATTTATTTTTCCAGTTTCATCATCTGCTACTCTTTGACAACATATCTGGGACAGTTGCAGCAGTGCCAGCTGCTTAACTCTCCTCCATATATTTGGTAAAATATATATACAGTATTATTATTTTTGTAAACATATAGTTTTGTTAAAGAACTGAGACGGTTTGTAAATGTCAATAATAATTAATAATAATAATTTATTTGTACCCCACTGGTTGCCCCAGCCACTCTGAGCAGCTTCCACCATATATAAAAACATAATAAAGTATTAAACACTTAAAAGCTCCCTTACGTAGGGAAATAAATAGAAACAGATCAGTTCTGATGGCACAAACGTAGACCATGCTGAATGTGTCCAAACCTCCCACTCTTTTTTTGGTGCCTTATTTTATTCCTGTGTGTTTCTGTTTTTTAAAAATATATATATTGTGGCTACGGCCTCAAAAGCTGGAAGTGGCCTAGGCCTCTCTGGATCTCCGAGAGAGACTGGGTGGATCCTGCCCCCACCTATTTTCTTCCCTCCAAAATTGCACTCCCCGCTGCTTTTTAGAGGTTTGGCAGAGATCCAGCTTCCCAAAGCCACAGAATATCTAGTTTGGCCAGCAGCAGAGTATGGTGAAACATGCCTCCTTAGAGGGGAAAAACAGTTCATCTGGAACCAATGTACAGCTTGCAGAGGCTCTAGCCATTCTTATTGTTCTTATTTTGCAAATTTAACAGGGCAAGGAAAAGGCAGAGGGAGAAAAAGATTAAAGTCCTGGTTGAAGAAAGACTGGTAGACCTGGGGAGGTGGGGGTGGGAAATAGGGGTAACAACAAAGAAATCACATTTCTATCTTCCATCTGCGGGGACACAAGGGAAGAACTTGTTCCAGAGTTTTGGAAAACTGTCAAGCCCAGTGGTATCTGCTAGGTAACCAGCGCTTTCAAACAGCCCCTTAACCCCTAGACAGATGGAAGGACCAAACCCACAGGGGGAAGGGAAAGTCAGAAAAAATGTGAGTGTTTTCTCTCTCTTCCTTTTTCCTGAGTCTTAATAACAAAATATACACACAGAGACTGAGAGGGGACTCTTAACTTTTCCATTAATAACAAATGCCACACTTAATCACACCATTTAGTTTTACTCAAACCAACAGCTTCCTTCCAGTATTGGGCTATCATTAATTTAGCTACCCCCAACATGAACACAACTAAACATTTTGACATCACCCCCGAGTTCTCTCCCGAGAAGACAGAAAGCAGACCTAATTTGAGCTCCTTAATGAACTAGGATGGCATTTATTTCTGTTATTACATCTTCCCAGCGCATTTTCTATTTATATATTACAATACTGAAGTCAACACACAAATTCCAGCCCCAAATAAACATCTCTTTTTTTCCTGCTCGGCGCAAGTTAAGAGAATTTGTATTATCAGCACTCCCGCTTCGTTTGCTAACTAGGAAGACACTTTTCAGGGCTAAAAAGCAGGGTATAAATAATAATTTGAATGATTAAAACAATCACCTAGCAAAAAGAAGATTTAGCTAAGCATCCTGCCTTCAAAGATTTCACAAAATTCACAATCTCTACACTGCCTCTGAAGAAGGGTCTCCTAGTTCTTAATTGTTTAAAGTCTCATCCACAACTTTGCTTGCCCCGCTGCTTTCGCACAGGAAAACTTGTATGGGGTTTTAGGGGAGGGGTGGTACCTCTGGTGGGGGACACATTGTGCTCCTTCAGGGGTAGTTTGTCCACCTTTGGTCCCGAACCTGCACTCAGCTCTCACCTGTGGCTCCTAAAAGCTGTCAGCATGTGACAGCAGACACACCCTGGGAAACGGATTCGACTGGCCGGCTAAACCAGGCGAGGGAGTCCCTAAGATGGTTGGATGGCACCTTGTACGCTTCCTTCTAGCAACTCCTGCAGCCAAGCTGGTGCCAAACGTATTGCCCTGCTTTCCTTTGGACCATGTCAGTGGGTCCGAAAACGGGGTCTTGTCATCTGGGCAGCCCAGGAACTCCATACACGCTGCCCAGGCTTGTGCCCCAGAGAGATCGCTTCAGTGCTGCTAAACCAACGAAAACAACGTGGGAGGTAGCAGCTACACGTTGCCAGCCTCAGCCGGCGCTGTTATTCTCCTGCGGCTTGACTTTGCCCCACAGGGCAGACTCCTCTGTCACTTGAAACAAAAGGATGCCAACAACAGCTGAAAGACAACAAACGTCAATCAGGTTTTCTCCGGATTGACGCTTGCTCCAATTTCACGCTAAATAGCGGGTTTTTCCAGTGGGGGTGGTGTGGTTAGCAAGGGACAAATGGAAAACCACTTGGACCTTTCTAAGGCACAGGACAAGTGAGAGTGTGGACAAGCCCTCAGCGTTTTATGTCACTATATATTATATACCACTAGAAATCAGCAAAGCTGACTGCAAGAGTTACTGTACAGACACCATTTTGAGGATACCCAACACACCTCCACTGCGCTCCTCAAATAAGAAAGCTCAAACTAATTACCAGTTGGTTCAGAGAGCCAGCTGGACTTCTGCCTAGAGCAGCAGCTGTAGGTTTCTGTCAAGTCTGGGCAGACAAAAATCCCGTTGGCTCTCCTAAGTCAGCCAATCCCACACAGAGCTCTTTGCTCCAAAATTGCAACATGTGCAACAGCTGGCGCGCATTAATTATCCTGCACAAATATTATCTAAGAAAGAATGAAGAGCGTAAGATTGGCGTTGCAAGCTTGGCGAGTTCAGTTCAGACTTGGACGTTGCTACTTCCTTGAGGCTGGCAGAGCTCAGAAGTTAGAGGCTTCCCATCCTGCCTCTGTTTTGCAGGAGAGAGTTCATGTCCTTGCTAATTAAATCTCTCATTTATTATCGCATTAGGAAGTTGCAACAGCAGACGCAGATTTCTTAAGTTAACAAGTAAATAGCTGCTCTGTTCTTTCTATAAATGTAGCTTAATGCTTTTCGCTCTGTGTTCCAGGGCTCTCCGATGTTCGCAGAAGTTCACCAAGGCTTGTCCAGTGATAAGACTATCTATTGGGGGGGGGATCCCTGAAAAACAGGTTGCTGTTTGCAACTATTTGCCTCAGGAGGTTGTTCAGTCTGCTCGACAACACACTCAAATGCATGCAAAGGTCTTGGCCGGTGGTGTAAGTGCTATGTAAACCCTATAATGCTCCGCTGAATTTATTGCAGAGGAGTTTCCTGGCAGGCCCACAAGAGTTCCTTGTCAGACAAGTCAATGCAATTTCAAAGTTAGATGGAGCCCAAAAGCAAATCTCTGTGCTGTAGAACAGACCTGTTTTATAGCTTAATTATAAGTTAATGTAAACCAACTTTTATAAACTGACTGCAAATCTTGGTTAACAAGCGCCTGCTAACCATAATTTGTAACCTATAGTTAAGTTGCAGGGGCCTGTTTGGATCATTTTAACTATGGTTAACTAAACCATGGTTTATAAACCATAGTTTAGTGTGTTGTGTAAACCAGGCTGTTGAGCGTCCACTGAGCAATCATCTCAGCCAGAATACTGTGCAACAAACAGAGAGCAGGTGCACCATTGAGATGTGACTGCATAGCAAGTAACTTAAAGGTAAAGGACCCCTGACAGTTAAATCCAGTCGCAAACGACTCTGGGGTTGCGGCGCTCATCTCGCTTTACTAGCCGAGGGAGCCGACGTTTGTCCGCAGCCAGTTTTTCCGGGTCATGTGGCCAGCATGACCATGGTTTAAAAAGAGTGAGGCAAACTGCATACTAGAGAGGGGTCAATTAGCATCCAGTTTTTTCCACTGGCTCCAGCGGCCCAACTTCCATTTTATATATTCTCACATCACATCCCCCTCACCTCCACCCATCTCCATTTCAGTATTCAGCCCAATTTAATGCATTTCAGAGGTTCAAAAAGTCAGTGGTAAACCTGCAGTAGATTCAAGTTTGAATTTGCATTGCACCGAAAGTTAAGAGGTGGGACGTTACCATTGAAGCAGTAGAGTGGTCAGCATTCCTTCCTTCCTTCCTTTTTTCCTACCAGATGCAGAGTACAGAAGGACGCAGATGGAGTAAGAATCAATCGCTCACATACAAACTCTCCTTGCTTCAGCGATTGCTTTGCTATAGGACAGGTTTAACAAGAGAAAGGTAAGATTTCCCCCCCTAGAAGGAAGGGAGAAGAGAAGGAAGAATGGATGCAAAGGAAGGACAGACAAGGGAGGGGAAAAAAGAAAGAGAGAGAAAGCAATTGTCAAGAGAGCAAAGAAATAAGAACGTTTTCTTAGCAGGTTTTAAAAGCTCCTCATAACCCAAGAAAAATACTATCTGGATAATTTAGGCTCATTGCCAGTGTTGCTTGATGCACACAAAACTAACACTGCTTTAAGGAAGTTAGCTAAACTGAATGCTTCATTGACAAATTAGGTCATGATGCTCAGTAACTTTTGTATGATTTCTGCAGCACAATGGGGAAAAGCAGCGACACAATTATACTCTGTACACACCTAGCCTGTGTATGCTTACTGTTATCCACCATCCCCTGTTTTTCTTTCCAAACTATGGAGCCCTTTTTTAGCAGAATTTCATCAGAGCCCTGAACGCTAATAACCTTTGTAAGTAAGCTCTGTGAAAGTCAACGGAATTTCTTTCCAACTCAAGCATATTTTGGATCAGGGTGCCATCAACTTACCCCATAGAAACTTATTTCTATGTCTGCACAAATTACTCCTTAGCAAAAGAACTAGAAACCTTCGTTCAGCCACAGAGAAACACAATTAAATGGCCTCACATCCCATCCTATGCTGATTGAAGCAAACAACAATTTCAAAGGACAAGACAGAAGTTTAACTGAACAAATCGTGATAAGCATTTTCCTTCTTAAGACATTTGTAGTAGGTATCAGATGGCAAAGAGTAAGACCCCATCAGATGTATATCCCAGCGATACTCAAACCGCATGACCTCCAGATGCATGTCTTGAAAAATTAAGCCACCATTTTGGACCCCTCCACTAGTCAATGACCCAATGAGCAGAGAAGTTCCATGTACCACTGACCATCATCTGTCCTGCCAACATCCCAAGAAAATAACCAAGGGTGTCCTGGATTTCCCCAACACAGCCAGCGCTGAAACTGATAGGCAATCCCAGAACATAACCATTGCTGAGAAATCGGGTCCCATCCCTGAGCAATAAAGCAAGAGGGAAGATGAGATGCCATAAACCAATATTAAAAACAGGCTATTCTACTTTGCAAAGGAACATTCCTGCTTATTGTTTTGGGAGCCAAATGGGGAAACACACGTTATATGTTTGATGGCAACAATGAAGTTTGTCTCTTAAGCTAACAAACAACCTGCCCCCAGGTCATCAGTGTAATTTCATAACTGCTTTATTGAAATCTCATTCAAACGAAACCTGCCTAAACTGCTAAAAAAAGGTGCCCCGAATCTGGAACTATTTGTTATTCTGTGGAAAAAGTATGAGACGGTTGTGTTATGCAGATGTACATACCCTATGAAACTGGCACATGAAAAAAGCATCAGTTTGGCTCATGAAGATTAAGAAAGCTAAAAAAAACAACACAGCAAAAAAACCAGGTGTATTCTGCTTCCCCAAAGCTCAGCACAAAGACAAAGAAGACATTAAGAGATAACTCTGAGCAGACAAGCAAAAACCCTGTGTGATAATAACTAGAGGAGGCAACTAAAATTTTCAATATAATGTGTAAACTCATTCCAAGTACCGTACAACAAAACGCAACTAAATGTCATAGATATTCAGTCAATACAACAGAACTAAGTATAGTCCATTATAATACAAGCCTATCAGTTAAAAGTTCTGCAGTACCTCACAGATCAACCAAGACTGCTGGCTAGAGAAGGGAACTGCAGGAAGTCCCAATTGCAGTCGTTGTACAATTCCCAAATCCTTTGGCTTGGGACCTCAGGTGACACAAAAATGACCAATCCAGTGCTACAAGTCCTATAAATAATAATGTTGTTGTTGATGATGATGATGATTTATACACCACCCATCTGGCTGGGTTTCCCCAGCTACTCTGGGCGACTTACAGCATATATAAAACATAGCAAAACATCAAGCATTAAAAACTTCTCGAAAGAGGGCTGCCTTCAGATGTTGTCTAAAAGTAATGTAGTTCTTAATCTCCTTGACATCTGATGGGAGGGCATTCCACAGGACGGGCGCCACTACAGAGAAGGCCTTCTGGCTGGTTCCCTATGACCTCACTTCTTGCAGTGAGGGAACCAGCAGAAGACCCTTGGAGAAGGACCTCGGTGTCCAGGCTGAGTGATGGGGGTGGAGATGCCCTAAAGCCATTTAGGGCTTTAAAGGTCAGCACCAACACTTTGAATTGTGCTCGGAAATGTACTGGGAACCAGTGAAGATCCTTTAGGACCGGTGTTTTATGGCCCCAGTGGCCACTCCCGGTCACCAGTCTAGCTGCCGCATTCTGGATTACTTGTAGCTTCTGAGTCACCTTCAAAGGTAGCCCCACATAGAACACACTGCAGTAGTCCAAACGAGAGATAACCAGAGCATGCACCACTCTGGGGAGACAGTCTGCAGTCTCAGCCGGCGTACCAGATGGAGCTGGTAGACAGCTGCCCTGGACACAGACAGTTCACAGATCCACAGCCATTCCCTCAGTCTGGGCAACTTGTAGCCAAGGGAGGCTATAGGCTTCTCTCGCTGTACCAACAACCTATTGCCACTGTTTGAGCATCAAGGTACAAAGAGGCTCTGTCAGCCCAATGACACTAAACAGCTCAGATCTAGCAAACAGAAATATAAAAATTGGAAGGATATACACTCACCTTGCTACATTATTTTATTATTATGTTGTCTATTGTTATGTTTTTATTATTAGGCTCTACAAAATGTGTTCTTAATGTTGTACATCGCCCTGAGATCTTTTGAAAAAGGTTGGAATATAAATTATAATTTGAACACATTTCTTATAAATGTCAACTTTGTGTGGATACCTATCTGGACTGCATAGATCTATCTGTTTAAATTAATATAAACATATTTATGGTTATTTTTCATGTATGTAATATGAGCTAAGGGTTTCCCTCACTAATCCACCCTTTTTTTATCTTTGCTCGTTTTTCCTTTTTGTTAAATTTCTTGTTTAGAGGGGAAGATAAGGGAAAATTTGTAAATATATTTGAATCGGATATGCAGTAATAAAAAGATATAAAATAAATAACCACAGAAAGGAGGGAAGTTGAGGGGAAGCTAAATTAGATTTGTATAGATTTTATTTTCTATATGAAGGAAGGAAATGCTCTCCAGGAGCTCATATACCATGACCAAATCTAAATGTTGTAAAATGCATTATACGAAGGAACCCTTAACCATCAGAATCTTTAGCTGAGCATATTATAATACCGCAACAAGGGTGAGGAAAACCTTTCCTAAACTTTCTTTGTTTTTACACAATTTTGCACAATTCCACAACACTCCTGTTGCTAGCAGAGTTAAACCAACCATGAGGCATTACACACCGCAAAACCGTTTTTAGCAATTCACTCAGCAAAAAGTCCACAACATGTCTGAAAGTGACAACATGCACGTGCTCCTTTCGCAAACGCAATAGGCTATTTGGAATCTGGTAATCTCTTACCTGGTTAATTACATATATACCATAATCAAGCTGCTGCCTTTGAAGGATTGGATGAAGATAATACAGCCAGTATTTCAAGTGTTCATCTCGATTTCTGAACGGGATGATAAGCGCCACTTTCTCAAGCGCTCTGCATTCCTTTGGGGTATAGCGTCCTCCTTCCCTGACTTCGGGGTTGTCGCCTGCCACTTTCTTCAAATCCACAGTCAGTGAAAACTCCACACGCAAAGGGCCAACTGGGAGGGAGGGAAAAACCACAAGACAAGTCAGTCAAGACAATGGTGCGAGATCGTTGGTGCCTTGTTAAAGAAGCGATAGGTTTGCAAAAAGTCTACTAAAGAACAAGGGTAGGAGTCCAGAATTTCATTCTGGATACATTTATGGAGGACAATGTATTAGAGAAGTTTTAGCCTCATGATTCAGAAATGGCAACCATTTTAGGCGCCTTCAATTGACACGCAATTGTCAACACACAGTTCCTTCTGGATCCGGAAGGAGGCAGAACAGGGCAAAATTGGGGGCAGGGAATGGGGGGGCACTTATACACGCCCCGTATAACACGCAGGGGGCAGGAACAGAACCTCCATGAGAAATGGTCGCCATCTGTACTTGGGTCACAAAGGTCTCTCATCCAAGCTATGGGTGGATACAAGTTGCCAGTCCCCTTTGTAGATGTTACCACACAGCTTAAACTGGATACAGTCGTGCCATGGAAGTCGAATGGAATCCATTCCGGAAGTCTGTTCGACTTCCAAAACGTTCGAAAACCAAAGTGCAGCTTCTGATTGGCTGCAGGAAGCTCCTGCAGCCAATCAGAAGCTGCGGAAGCCGCGTCGGATGTTCTGGTTCCAATGAACATTCACAAACTGGAACACTCACTTCTGGGTTTGCGGCGTTCAGGGACCAAAACATTCGAGAACTAAGCTGTTTGAAAACAAAGGTACAACTGTAGTTATTTATTTTATTTTTTTCAGAATGAAGCATTTTACTTACAGTTTTTATTCTCCCCCACTTTTTTGTTTTTGTTATAATGCCAGCCCTGGTAATATTGTACCACTTCTTTACATGCAGTCAGATACTTCTGAGGCCTTGATGCCATCTTAAGCCCTGATGATCAATGCTAAGATAGCAAGACGACAGTGTAGTTAACACTGTGAACTACAGATACGCAGGGAGGAGGAATCTGTTTTAAACAGATTTCTATGTGGAACTTGGCAGTTCCAGCCTGACTGAGCTTTGCTTTCATTGGCGTGCCTCTTACATTGAATGCCTGCTTATCTCCAAACTGATCGTGCATTGTAAGTTGACTCGTTGTACATCAAAAATACGAACATTTTACATCTGCTGTGTATAAAACCTCATAGGGTACTAGATTTCTGTAGCACGGTTTTATAAGCAGCTAATAGTTTATATCTATAGACGGTTCCTGCGCAGAGGGTTACAGTTTGAAAGACATGGCACAAAAGGAAAAATAAAGGAGGAGGGGAGAGGAAAACAAGCAAACACAACCAGGAATTCTTAACATTACACAGCAGTTCCCAGCTACAACAGAAACGGCTCAGGAAGAGGAGGTGTCAAATAGAAATGAGTTGATGAACTGCAAATGACTTATTGATCATGGTCTGAAGGCGCACAAGGCAACAACCTTGCTGAGTCTGGGACTGGTCAGGGTCAGGTAGGAGACAAAGTATGGATGAAATGTGGGGTGTGGCATGACATAATTCTGCTTTCAGGCTTCCCGTAGTCATCTGGTTGGCTACCGTGAGAATAGAGTGCCGGACCAGAAGGCATGCTGGCCCGATTCAAAAGCGTTCTTAAAATAGAAGTCAACTTGGCATGATCACTTTGCCTAACCGTCATCCACCCACTTCTATCTGGAACCAATACACAGATGCTGAAGATACAAGGCAGCAATGTATACTGTCATCCTTAAACTGTCTTGAACATTTTCACTTCTGGGGTGTGTGTGTGTGTGTGTGTGTGTGTGTGTGTGTTTTAAACTTTAGGTACTAACCACATGCAAAACGAAACCTCTTTGGGGTTTAGCTCAGCCACCGAAACTACAACGCCTAAAACTCCTTTACCAGAATTCTAAAGCAAAATGGGTTTCCGGTATTGTAAGCTGCCAAACGGACTTGTCTGCCTCCAATGCACACTTTTAACACAAACAGAGGGAATCCAGCAGCCTTTCAAAATAACATGACCAGCTCAGGATACTGGAATAGACTCATGTAGAAGGAGACACCAGGCGTATTCAACCTTCTTAAGGGAAATTAGATGCACTAGTGGTAGACTTAGTGATGTATGGAAGTGAGAGCTGGACCATAAAGAAAGCTGATCGCCGAAGAATCAATGCTTTTGAATTATGGTGCTGGAGGAGACTCTTGAGAGTCCCATGGACTGCAAGAAGATCCAACCTATCCATTCTTAAGGAAATCAGCCCTGAGTGCTCACTGGAAGGACAGATCCTGAAGCTGAGGCTCCAATACTTTGGCCACCTCATGCGAAGAGAAGACTCCCTGGAAAAGACCCTGATGTTGGGAAAGATGGAGGGCACAAGGAGAAGGGGACGACAGAGGACGAGATGTTTGGACAGTGTTCTCGAAGCTACCAGCATGAGTTTGAGCAAACTGTGGGAGGCAGTGGAAGACAGGAGTGCCTGGCGTGCTGTGGTCCATGGGGTCACGAAGAGTCAGACACGACTAAACAACTAAACAACAACAACAACAGTGGTAGACTTGTTAATTCCCAAACTGAGGGCCATAATAATGAAATATCTGAAGTTTTCCATGAGCAAAAACACGCCCACCCACACAGAGGAGCCTGCCTCCATCTCTGCATGATCCATTGCTCTGGACTTTGCTCCTTCCATTCAGCCTTGGCAGAAGCAGGAAATTCTGTTACCTCACAGATTTGGGTGAGATTTTTATCAGTCAAGCCCTCTGATTCAGACACACACTAGAATTAACCACCCTCAGAGGAGAGTATGTTGCATCTCTGCATGAATGACTGGTCTGAACTTGCCTCTTTAGAGAGGCACACTCAAAATAGAGATGCACACAGACATAAAACAGGAAGATTTAGGGGAATACGACTGGTTTGCCAGCACTGGGCATTGAGCCAAGAGGGGTGCCAAACAATGACAAACAATGAAAGGTGGGGGGGGGGGGACACCATTTTTTGGCATTGCACAGAGCGCCGCTGAATTTTTAACGCCCAAAGTCAGCCACTACATAAAAGGTAGATTCGCCTGTGGGTGTGTAGTTCTTACTCCAAGACATTCTAAAAGCAAGCCTTTCAGATGCAGAAGTGAGGTATGCTTTCAATTTTAACAGCAAAATAAATGTCCCTCTGTAATCAGAAGTTTGGGAAACAGTGGGCTAAATTAAGGACTTACACAACCTTACTGCTGGAGATGCAACTAATAATCAAATAGATTTACAGATGTATGCACAAAACTACCAATTGACAACTGGCAGAAATGAGCCAATTCAGTAACACTACAATATTCTCAGTTGTTGTTGTGTTTGTTTGTTTGTTTGTTTGTTTGAAACCCACCAACTGCATTAAACCTTCATATCCCCACATATATCTTCAAAATCCATGGTAATAATAATTTGTTGTTGTTGTTTTATACCCCGCCCATCTGGCTGGGTTTCCCCAGCCACTCTGGGAGGTTCCCAACAGAGGACTAAAAACAGAATTAAACTTCAAACATTAAAAACGTCCCTAAATATGGCCTAAATATGGCCATGAATGGGTCCCCTCCAGCAAGAACATCCCATCATTATGGCATCATCACTGAAAAAGGGCTGCCTGACATACTCACTGTCTGTATCTCACGCTGTAAGAAGCAGAAAGAGAGAACAGGAGAGATAAAGATAAACAGAGAGAAGCAGTTGTGAAATCCAGTTTGTTCACACTTCTGAGACACACTAGGAAGCTCTAAGAACACTCTTAAGTGTGTCTACTCATGGAAAATCCTACTAGTATCAAATGGGAACTTAAGAAGCTGCCTTATGTTCAGCGGCACTTCTCCAGGGTTTCAGACCAGAGGAATTCCCAGCCCTACCCAAAGTTGCCAGGATTTCAGCCTTGGACCTTCCGCAAAGCAGAGATGATCAACCACTGACTTGCACATGCGTGCGCTTAGGACGGAGGTAATGTGTCATTCACAAAAGAGGGGGCACACATTCCCGTAGGGTAGGACTGGTAGAAAGCAAATGACTGCTTTTGATTCTGCTTGGATGTGAGTAAAGACAGTCTGCCCTCCTTAAAAAAATACAATAAATCTGCTTCTTGGCAGGGTGAGCTCGATCATTTCCTTTCATATCTTAAGGAACTAAGAAGGGCAGTGCACTAACATGTTCAGCCTGCCAGTCTAATAAAACCAGCTGTCACAGAATCATTCTAGCTGGGCAGATAAAAGCAAACAAGTACAGATAAGGGCAAGGAGCAGGACATTTTGAACATGGAGGCGTGGAAAACCCATATGTGAGCTTGGCATGCACGACACTGAAGCCAACTTTCATCGTGCTGAGATTTCCCTCTATATCTTACTTCCTGGTTCCTTCTTCAATCATTTCCAAGTCTCTAGATAAATATACATAGGCTGTGCTGGTCATTGATCATAATATAAAAAGTGACTTGATACACAGGGTGGGGTGAAAGTTGCCCAATCTTTTACTGTGTATAATAAACAGATACTTATTGCATTTGGCCTGGGAGGGGCAGCAGGGCAGAAGAGGTGGGGAAAACCAGAAAGATCCCCTATACTGCGCCAGCAGTGTTAGAAACTCAGATATATAAGCTAAGCACCAAATGGCTTCTTAAACCAAGGTTAGAGTTGCCAAAATGGAATGTCTCGTTGCCATTTTGGTGCAAGACAGTTCTAAAGTTTAATTTTTTTCAAATGATGGACTGGCTGTGATTGATTCTCAAGTTCAACATCTGGCCAGTTCAGATGATTACCTTGAGCTAAGTAAAGAAGAAAAGTCACTTGATGGTGGAGGTATCAGGCATCATCCTGGTGCCCCGGCACTTTCACTTGGTCGTAAAATGTGTCTGGCACCTGGACAATTTTGTACACTGGTTTATGGCACAAGACCTTCCAATCCTCAATATTTGCGCCACCTGAATTTGCTGGTATGTGAACGTAGTGATAGCCTGGAAATACCCCTAGCCTCCTTTATTACTGTATTTTTTGCTCTATAAGACTCACTTTTTCTCTCCTAAAAGGTAAAGGGAAATGTGTGTGCATCTTATGGAGCGAATGCAGGCTGCACAGCTATCACAGAAGCCAGAACAGCAAGAGGGATTGCTGCTTTCACTGCGCAACGATCCCTCTTGCTGTTCTGGCTTCTGAGATTCAGAATATTTTTTTCTTGTTTTCCTCCTCCAAAAACTAGGTGCTTCTTGTGATCTGGTGCGTCTTATAGAGCGAAAAATATGGTATGTCTGGCTTCCAGCTTTCGAAGCCAGATTTGGGCTAGAACCACCGGGACAGGAAAAGAGCACAGAGGAAAATCACTCAGAGAATGTTACATTTGTACACACTCCAATCTGCGACAGATCTGATTAATAGTGAAGACCACATCAAACTGCTGACGAACAAGGGGCATCCCCTCTCTGTGGGATAATTCTTTCAAAGTTTGCCTTCCTGGGACACTCTGACACAGCATACAGTACATAATATGGAAAACAAGACACTCCTGCACAGTTGCTCTTATGCAATACAATTAATCATCTACAAATCAAGGTAATCTTCGAATGTGCCAAGATATAAAGCGCTGAGAAGTCCGGGAACAGGAAAAGCCAAGCTAGCGGTCTTGCTTAATTTGGGAGTTTTCCCCAGTTTTTGCAATGGAGCAGATTTCCAACAGCCTCAACTATTTCACAAGAGGACTTTTATCCACATTATAAATACAGTCCCGTCTGCAACCAAACGCCCATGGCCACGATTCTGGAAAAACTAGTGAATGACGACAGACATGGATGAGAGTCTTTTGAGAGGCGCACTCTTCAATTAGAGCAGATTGGAGCATTCACTATCTATGTTAAAGGTCAGGCTCGGCTCTGCACACACAATTTTGCTAAATAAATGCATCTGAGCATGTTTCCAGTATTCACACTCTTCACGGGTACATCTGTGTTCATGTGCCTAGCAGCAGTGCAGAAAAAAACTACCCTACGTCTTCCAACATAACTAGCGCATGTCTGAAGCCACACTAAATATAATTGCAGTACAGATTTCTCAATTTGGTTAAAAACTCATTTTGGGGGAAATGCACCAAAATGGAGTAGGTAGAGGAAAAGGACCCCTGGACAGTTAAGTCCAGTCAAATTTGACTACAGTGGTACCTCGGGTTACATACGTTTCAGGTTACATACTCCACTAACCCAGAAATAGTACCTCTGGTTAAGAACTTTGCTTCATGATGAGAACAGAAATCGTGCTCCGGCGGTGCGACGGCCCCATTAGCTAAAGTGGTGCTTAAGGTTAAGAACAGTTTCTGGTTAAGAACGGACCTCTGGAACGAATTAAGTACTTAACCTGAGGTACCACTGTATGGGGTTGCGGCGCTCATCTCTGCTTTCAGGCCGAGGGAACCAGCATTTGTCCACAGGCAGCTTTCTGGGCCATGTGGCCAGCATGACTAAACCACTTCTGGTGCAACAGGACACCATGATGGAAGCCAGAGCGCACAAAAACGCCATTTACCTTCCCGCCACAGCGGTACCTATTTATCTACTCACACTGGTATGCTTTCAAACTGCTAGGTTGGGAGGAGCTGGGGCAGAGCAATAAGAGCGAACCCCGTCATGCAGATTCAAACCTCTGACCTTACGATCGGCAAGCCCAAGAAGCTTGGTGGTTTAGACCACAGCGCCACCTGCGTCCACCAAAATGGAGTATTTCATACAGGGTAGATATGAATTGTGGCTAACTGTGCCTAGGCCACTTCCCAATGCAGCAGTGGGAGAGCATTGGTTGCAGAACAAATGGAGAGTGTACAGAGCCTCAGTCCACTCCCTTAAAAGTGACTAAAGAATCAGAGTAGTTACATGTACACTTTCTGATACAGTGGTACCTTGGTTCTCGAAATGTATCCATTCTGGAAGCCCATTCAGCTTTCGAAATGTTTGAAAACCGAGGCATGGCTTCCCATGGGTTGCAAGAGCTTCTTGCACTCAGTGGAAACTGCATTGCATGTTCGGGTTCTGAAAAACGTTCGAAAACGGAAGGATTAATTTCCAGGTTTTCAGCGTTCGAGAACAGAAACATATGACAACAGAGGTGTTCTGGAACTGAGGTACCACTGTACTGTCTAATATACTGTTCTTTTACTGACTACAAAGAAGGTTAAAACGGAGCCACAGAAAATTCTTAGGCTTTTCATTACAGCTAGTCCTTTATGTGAATGTCAACATTTGATGTCATATGCAACTGTACTTATTCTAGGTGCCTATCTTATTGTTTTTGTTTCTCATCTTTTAACTGCACTCTCTGCTTTTTAGACGTTACGAAATTAACTTTTTTTAAAAAAAAAACTTTACCCAAAAAAACCCAACACCTGATGTCATAGAGAGTAAACCAAACAGGAGGTTTATCCCCAATCGCGACCAGTATATTCCATGATCAGACACACTTTTCCTATTGACTCCCGTTCTATTTCACAACACTTTTAGAAGTTTGATTTTAATATATTTCTGCCATTTCCCATCTTCCATTCAAGTTCTAATAAACAAAAACTTTAAAATATCTAGGCAAGTGAAAAGCACTCCCTTCTTGTCCTTCAAAAGCATTTTCAATGCTGGGACCAGCATAGAGTAATTTCTGTTCTTAAATTGGTTGAGCGCTCTACCACCTTGTCAAAGAAAGGCTCTTATGTGCCATGTACTGATTTATTTGTTCCAGCTTCCCACTAAACTGACTAATAACATCTTTGACCACAATCCTAATCACACTCAACTAGCCATAAGTGCCACTAAACTCAACAGGACTTGCTTCTGAAGAGGACTGTGCTATGTAGATGGTCAAAGAAGCGCACAAAATTATTTTAGGCAATATAATCAATATTAAAATTCTTAAAACAAAAGTATGCCTAAATCAATAAAAAGACAACTAAGAGTCTGGGCCATTCCTGCATAAAGAAAAGCTAAAATATTGGGGGCTTTTCATTTGGAGGAGAGAAGACAACTAGGAAACATGACAGATGGTTTTCACATAAAGAGCAGTAGCAGCGAAATTGAATTTTCTCCCTCTCTTATATGATACAGTGGAACCTTGGTTCCTGAACGGCTTAGTTGATGAACAAATGAGCTCCCGAACGCCAAAAACCTGCAAGTAAGTGTTCCGGTTTTTGAACGTTTTTCAGAAGCCAAACATCCGATGCAACTGCCGGCTATTGTTTCTGGGGCACCTGCGCCAATCGGAAGCCATGACTTGGTTTTCCAACCTTTCGGGAGTCGAATGGACTTCCAAAATGGATTAAGTTCGAGAACCAAGGTTCCACTGTACAGTGGAAGGTCCATTCTTAACCTGAAACTGTTCTTAACCTGAAGCACCACTTTAGCTAATGGGGCCTCCCGCTGCACTGCCGCCGCACAATTTCTGTTCTCATCCTGAAGCAAAATTCTTAACCCGAGGTACTATTTCTGGGTTAGCGGAGTCTGTCACCTGATGTGTCTGTAACCTGAGGTACCACTGTACTGGAACTTGGGAGCACCAAAGGAAAAATTGGCAGCAGATTTAGGATGAACAAGTGAAAAATAGTATTTCACACAATGCATCATTAACATATTGAATTTGCTGCAACCACACTAGCATCATTGGTTTTAAACAAGGCAAATTCATGGCTAATATTCATGATAGCAAGATGGAACCTCCATGTGCAGAAGCACAGAATCTCTGAATACTCACTGCTGGGGAGTGGGTAGGGGCAACAGCATGGGAGGGGGTGTCTACATATGTGACTTGTGGGTTGTGTTTGGCTTAGTGGTTCACAAGTTGTGCAGGCCTGAGCCTGCCTCCCATCTGAAATTTCCATACTGCGTGTCCTTATCGGGCAGCGGATATATTTAGTCTCCTCAACAACACAAGGTCAAAACAACAAGTTCCAGGACTGCATTTCAGTTACGATAGTATCAGAGTTCAGTCAGCAGCAGCTCAGCAAAGCGATTCATGGAAAGCTAAGAGTCAAGGAAAGCCACATTGCATTGGAAAAGGAATTATCTCAATAACTGCATTAGATTCCTTTAGAATATATATATATATATATATATATCACACACACACACACACACATATGTTGTTTGCTATATATACACACGGATATAGCACAATGTTGTGAGTCCCAAACCTGCAACACTGAAACAAGGAACTTTATGACTATCATTTAGTACAGGGGTCAGCAAACTTTTTCAGCAGGGGGCCGGTCTACTGTCCCTCAGACCTTGTGGGGGGCCAGACTATATTTTTAGGGGGGGCGGAATGAACGAATTCCTATGCCCCACAAATAACCCAGAGATGCATTTTAAATAAAAGGACACATTCTACTCATGTAAAAACACACTAATTCCTGGACCGTCCGTGAGCCGGGTTTAGAAGGCACTCCTATCTTTGGATGGAGGTGCCATTTCGGGAATATATTTCAGTTTTGGGTTTTTTTTGCATTTCTAGACTGGAAGGAAGCAAGACTGGAAAGGACAAGGGGAGTTGCTAATGATTACCTTCGTTATTGCATAAATGGATTATGAATAAACTACCGTTGGGGACGCACAAAAACAGTAGAATACCAGCATCATCAAGCTCAAAGTAAATGTACAACAGGAACAGAATGTGACGTTGAAGAAAACAAAGACCTTCTTGCTGGCCTCCTTCCAAGAAGACAGCCAACAGCAAAGGCACTAATCTCCACATGAACACACAAAAGGCAAAGCCAAGATCATTGTGGCTGCATCTTTAGCTCTGGACCTAGTAACTTCACCCATATTAAGCGCTTCCAACAAGACATTTAGCAAAACCAGACCATTATTACATTAAAAAATGGGCTAAACAATGGCTCTCACTGCGTGCAATTTAAAGTAGTGGAAAAAATGTACACATTGGGCATCCATCTATCATCATACATGTTTAATGCAAGTATAAACAAGCACACACAAATACAGGCACACAGGCAAACACACAAAGCTTATAATAACAGGGAGGATAACGGCAGGTAGGAATGGGGAGGGCATACCAACAGCAAGCTCAGACAGTCAAGTGTTTACCGTTTGGAGGCAAAAAGATGCTTACAAATAAGACAAGCTGCTTCTACATACTCCAGGGACTCCAAAGGTATGCTTGTGTTTTTAAAATAAAAAATGGTTTAATGGAGAGAGGGGAACCCGAGAGCCCAGTGTTATAAGAAATTATGGTCTCAAATATATAAATTAAATGTTCATAAATTTACAAAGTATGTAAACCAGGTGTCTGAAATAGTACAGGAGAACAATCCTGAAACCATTTTGACTCTCCGAAATTGACCTCAAATGTTTCTCTGCAAGGAGGAAGGAAATGGAAAAGCCTCTCCATTGTCTTTTGCTTACCTGTCTTTAAGGCATTTTTGTGTATGAATAGGGTGAGCCTGTGACCTGGATTCAGGAATTAAAGTATTTACCATCACGAAAGAATGACCAGGCTGCCCAAGTAAGCAATCACTGGCCATTATCAGGTATTCTGGCAGAGAGGATTTCTGTTGTAGACTGCCTCCTTCTGTGATGTATGTATGGTGCTTTTGGGGGTGGTCTTGAGCTACAGGGTGGGCAATTTCAAAAGTCTACATAAGGGCTTGCACACCTTTGTTCTGGATTCCTCCTCCCACGTGGCGGGTGGGTGAGAACCCTGTTGCAACAGTTTAATAAAGATCAGGCTTGCTAGCTGCTTTGCTTCTCAATAGTCTCTGGTTAAAAAGGTAAAGGGTAAAGGGACCCCTGACCATTAGGTCCAGTCGTGGACGACTCTGGGGTTGTGGCGCTCATCTCGCTTTACTGGCCGAGGGAGCCAGCGTACAGCTTCCGGGTCATGCGGCCAGCATGATTAAGCTGCTTCTGGCGAACCAGAGCAGCGCACGGGAACGCCGTTTACCTTCCCACAAGAGCGGTACCTATTTATCTACTTGCACTTTTATGTGCCTTCGAACTGCTAGGTTGGCAGGAACAGGGACCGAGCAACGGGAGTTCACCCCGCCGTGGGGATTCGAACCGCCGGCCTTCTGATCGGCAAGTCCTAGGCTCTGTGGTTTAACCCACAACGCCACCCGCGTCCCTAATCTCTGGTTATTTTCTCTTATTGATAGGGAACCCACTGAAGGACTCTATACGGGCTCTTGGATACCCCATAAGGAAAAAGGAGCAGATTTTGTTTACATCACCAGCAAGGATTAAGTGTGCTCCATAGTCCCCAGAAACTGCAGAATGTTGGGAGTGTCCACTGGGTATGGGAACTGGGAAATCTTGGGGAGGGAAAAAGCAACTTGCTTTGTTTAACCCTCCACTCCACTTTAGTTTTCTGGAGGACGGCATGTCAGTCTGGCTGGCACCCTGAACAGCAGCAAGTCTGCCTGAGTGAGAGGGATGCATTGCAGTACAGTCGTACCTTGGAAGGCGAACAGCTTAGTTCCCGAACGTTTTGGCTCCCGAAGTCGCAAACCTGGGAGTGACTGTTTCGATCTGCAAACTATTTTTGGAAGCCAAATGTCCGACGGAGCTTCCGATTGGCTGTAGGAGCTTCCTGTAGCCAATCGGAAGCCGCGCTTTGGTTTTCGAATGTTTTGGAAGTCGAATGGACTTCCGGAACAGATTCCGTGCAACTTCCAAGCTACGACTGTAATTTGTTCTTCTAGTTTGTAGTTATTTTCCGCAATCTGTTGCATTCTTAGCATAAAGAAAAACTAGGACAAGCCCATGTAGATGAAGCATGTGGCATTAACTACCAATAAATTTGAACGCTCTACAATGCATGTACCATCCTGTCAGACAGTGTGCAGGCAGGCAGGGTCTCAGCCAGCACACTGGAATGAATTTCTGGAAACAAAATGCTTTTTCGCGTGGCTTGAGCAGAAACAGTGAACAACGTTATACCTAATTATTGTATCTTGTCTTCACACACCCCATCCCACTGCCCAGCTCACAAATTGTGCAGAATATTCTTACATTGTGAATGGTCCGTGTCACCATTAAGAAAAAGAGATAAGCCTAATAAGCCGATATATGTGGACTGTCCCTGGATCAAGTGACTTTTCTTCTCAAAGTTCTCCCAAGTTCTTAACCTAGCTCAAGGTTCTCACTTGAACTAGCCAAATGTTTAACTGATAATCAACCACAGTCAGTCCAACGTTTGAAAAATAAGACTTTAGAGCCGTCTTGCCCCAAAATGGCAAGTATACATTCCATTTTGGTGGCTGCAACCTTGCCTAGCTTATATATTCGAGTTTCTAACACTGCCACATCCCACTCTCCACATCAATAAATGCCAAATTAATGAGTGTTTCTAATCTTTGAAAATTAGGAAGTTAGGTCTGCTTCAGTATTGTTTACACTGACTGCCAGCAGCTTTCCAGAGTTTCAGGAGGTGTTTTCTCACACTCCTTACCGTGGGGATACTGGCGACTGGACCTGAGACGTTCTGCATCCCAACCAGTGGTTTTACCACTGAGCTAGGGCCCTGTGTCTGACGCTAACAGTGTTGCATGTTTAGTCACTGTGTTAAGAAAGTCTTGTTCCCTTGAACTTTCCATGAATGGATTAACATTGATCTGTTTCAATAAATGGGAACTGCTACTTATGTTTCTCAAACAAGTTGCGTTTTTACAATCTTAAGGTAAAGAGTCGCACTTTTAGTTCATATTCCCTCAGGGTTACTGCAGTAGATAAGGTCTAAGTGGTTTCATTTACTGTTGCTATGATGCACAACATAGAGATAAGGCCCAAAGTAATAGCAGAATATGCAAATACAATAAAAACTGGCCTCTTCCAATGTAAACGGAACACTTTTATATTCTAAAATACTAACATAAAACAAGGAAAGTAAAACAATAAAAAAGATCTGCAATCAGTTTCATAGGGGAATTTGACTGGGGAACAATTTTGGACACGTTAGAGCATGTATATTTGTGGTTTAATTATGTAGCTATTCTCCCAATTATGGGGGGGGGAGATAAAGATTTTTTAAAAAAACTGACCAAAATGAATAAAATATTTGAGTTCACATATAAAACTAATTTAGATTTTGAAATATAAGCTAAGTTAGAGAGAACTAGAGCTTGGTTGGACTTAATTTATATAAAAGAAACGCTAATAGCCATGAGCTACAATAAACAACCGTACTTCTAACTAAGTGGGAGAGTGATAAAACCTATCAACTATTAACACACTATGTAAGAGAGAAAAAGAAAAGAGAATATTGCCAATCTTGTCAACAAACTCCACAACATTCATTTAGAGCTTCCAGATGAATTGTATTTATTTAAAGGACTTATAATCTGCTTTTTTTTAGAACCCTGCTCCACAAAGAAGCTCAAAATAGATATAAGAGAGAAAAGCCAAGTACAGATACTGTGCAGAACCATTAAAACAGCCATATCATAGCACTATCAAAAGCCTAACAGAAGTAAACCAAAACAAAAGCTCAGTTGGTTAGAGCATAGTGCTGGTAACGCCAATGTTGCAGGTTCAATTCCCATATGAGACAGCAGCATATTCCTGCATTCCAGACTAGATGACCCTCAGGGTCCCTTCCAATTCTATGACTATGAAAATATATTAAAAAGTCAGATTGGCACAATAACTCTAGTTTATAGCCCCTCCTTATATCAAGCAGCAAAGGATTTAGGGAAGAGTTAGGTCTTTAAGACCCTCTTCAAGACCGTGATGTGTGGGGCCTGCTTACCTTCACAGGAACGGGGCCATTGCCAAGAAGTCCCTACCACAACTGCCTGGAGCTCCTTCACCAACAGACACTTAAGCAGGCCCTCCAGTGTAGATCTTCAGAGTCTGGGCAGGCTCAGTAACAGCAGTCCTTTAAGTAACCCAGCCCCAAACCATGTCTGCACTCCACAAAGGCAGAAGAACTGCATGACTTGAGCAACAGAGGAGGGAGGAAGAAAAGGACAACATGCTAAAAATTATCTATTCCAAGGTGAGGAGAAAGAAAGCAGTGGATTTCGCCATGCTTCACTGTAGCTGCAGAGCAGACCTCTCTGAGAAACTGGGCACCAAGATTATATAGGCATTCTGCCAATATTGAAAAACAGACTGTTGACAGACCAGGGTGAAGAGTCGGTGGAAGAAGACTGGAAAAAGTTTAAAGACTATTTATAGAAATATTGTAAAATTAAGGATTGTTAGAAAAATGTTGGAATGAAATTACATGGCTTTAGTAGAAATGTCATAAGGAATTAAGTATAAATAGATTAATAGAAAATTAAAGGGAAAGTATGGCAAGAATGTGTTAAGATAATTATAGAACAGAAAACAGAGTAAGATGGAAAGGAATTGCTGAAACAAATACTAGAAGTAGAATACAAACAGTTAGGTGTGAGGAAGTCGCTGGAAATAAGAGAATGAAATATAAGATATTGAAAATGTCTGAGCTGTTTTTAAATTGTTTTTGTTTGTTTTTGCTTGATTTGTTATTTGTATTGTTTTCTCTTTCTTTTTTCTTTTTCTCTGTGTTTGTAGTGTTGTGTTGGAAATTTTGAAAAAGTAATAAATATCATTTAAAAAAGAAAAAGAAAAACAGACTGTTGATAATTCAGGACGTTGGCTGCGATGGGAAGACGAAAGGCATGCCAAACTCCATAGATTGCACTTGAGCTCCATGCAGTGTCTAAACAAACAACTTGGGTTCTTTGGAATCCTCCCAATACATTTTCAAAAGAGGGTGGGAGAAAAAAATATTCCTTTAGGGAGAACATGAGGCTTGCGTTGCGCCCTGAAGTTTCCTGACTAACCTGAGGAGAGTAAGAAACATAGAAAATAGGCAAGAGAATGAAGTAGAAGAAGCAGAAGAAACTAGCTAGAGCACATGTGAAGAAACCAGCTTGGATCAAAGAGATGAGATTCCACACACAAAAAGCTAAGCCAAATGGGGGGCTCACTCACATTTCCGTTTTGTGCAGATTTTTAAAATGACTGACGTTTTATTATGTTTTATGTGTGCTGGAAGCCACCCATAATAAGCTGCGGCTTTCCCAGCAAAAGCAATGGGACAAAAAAAAGCAACAGGACATGGACCTAGAAATCCCAGCGCAAAAGGAAATGGGGATGAGCCTAGAGACTTCGAGACACATTGTTAAAGGCACAGGTTACTGAGGGGAAGGAACACCTCAGCATAGAATGCGTTTAGACTGAGGATGACGCTACATGGAAGAGGCACTACAAAATACCGTATTTTTCGCTCTATAAGACGCACCACACCACAAGACGCACCTAGTTTTTGGAGGAGGAAAACAAGAAAAAAAATATTCTGAATCCCAGAAGCCAAAACAGCAAGAGGGATTGCTGCACAGCGAAAGCAGCAATCTCTCTTGCTGTTCTGGCTTCTGGGATAGCTGCGCAGCCTGCATTTGCTCCATAAGACGCACATACATTTCCCCTTACTTTTTAGGAGGGAAAAAGTGAGTCTTATAGAGCAAAAAATATGGTATATGCCGAGTCACAATCAGTGCAGACAGGTTGGGCCGCCCTAAGGGGCAGAGTTGAAGGGCAACAGCCAATCGGAACACAGTCTCTCAATTTGTGACTGGATTTGGTCTTGCGTGACAAAAACAACCCATGTGGGAACTGAAAGTATGGCCAATAGTCAGAGGTGTTGGGAGCGGTAGTGTGTGTGTGCGCGTGCACACTCAAGACATCGATTATATAAAACATATTTTGCTGCACTGTGCGAAATATGAGCAAGCCAGGGCTGAACTGATATTACCCTTGCTGGTACCTTTCCCGGGAAAATCAGAGGCTCACTATGTCAGGTTCCTATTGGAAGACCAGACAAACGCTAGAACATTAGCAGTGGCGAAATTTTTATCAGTGGTTGCAAGAACCAATGATTCCTATCTTTAAGTCCGAACAAAATGCTTGTTTAACCTGGAGGGAGGCTGTCTGAATTGTGCGTTGCTTTGTAACTATTTGTTGGGTCTCTGCATAATGGAAACTACCAAAACCTGCCAAAGTGATCACCTTTCAGCACTTTGCTTATGTAAGTTTTGTTATGTATGGCGAAAGTAAACACCTTCCATGTACAAGGAAGACATTATTTGGGCATTAAACTCTGCCAAGTACGCTCTTACATCCGAAGTTCTCACAGTTCAGTCCCATGTACACAAGTCCTTGCTTTATCAACAAGGGCAACCAGCCTATGCCAAGGTCTGCTTCCTCTCAGAATGCCCATTGCACAGCTACCTAAAGGTAAAGGAATCACATTGTTCTGGGGCACATGCAGAGTGCCAGCTGAATCAAGTTCCTTAGTAACATTCTCAATTGGTACCAGTCTGCCCAGAAGTTTTAAATGAAACCAATAACTTTAGTATTTAACAAACCATCAAATTCCAAAAACTATTGTTGTTAAAATTTGTATACTGGAACAAATTTGTAACTTGGAACAAAGCAAAGATTAATAATAAATTATTGCTTCAGGAACTGTGGCAAGAGAAGAAAAAGGGCTTCCTAAATTGTGGCAAATGTCTGAGAACACCCAGTTCTGGGAACAACCACTACTGAAGTGGGTATGGAACAAAACAGTGCCTGCAAGGAAGACCAGTAGGAGCCTGATTGTCTAAGTTGCTAAGAAGAAGACCATGAAGCATCACTTTATTATATATAGTCCTCGATACTAGACATATATATAATGGCTGGGTGGGAATGGGACTAAAGTACAATTAACAGAAATAGCATAAAGGACAGAAGGGTGTACCAAATATTTAAATCTCTAGAAGCTGGATAAGTGGAAAATAAGCCAGATATTTCTTTTCTTAATTTAGGAAAATTCATACCCCACCCTTCCCAGCTGCTGCTCCCGGGGTGGCTAACGAAACAAACACACAATTGAAACAATAAATCAGATTTCAGCCAATAAAACAGCACCATATCCCACAACAACATGGGGGGTGGGAATCAGATTCAGCCAAGGCTTACAAAGTCACAGCTGCTGCATCTTGAGCCATGAAAAGACCTGCAAGAGTTTCAGAACAAAACTATGTTCTAAACTTTTTGCTCTAGCGATAAACCTGGCCGCTGGCTGAAGTTTCTGAACCATCTTCAGAGGCAGCCCCACGTAAAATGCACTGCAGCAATCTAACCTAGAGGTTACCAGAGCATAGACAACAGTAGTTAGGCTATCTCTGTCCAGACAGGGGCATGGCTAGGCCACCAGCCAAACCTGATGGAAGGTGCTCAGTGCCACTGAGGCCACCTGAGCCTCAAGTGACAGCAAAGGATCCAGGAGTATCCCCCAAGCGATGTACCTGCTCCTTCAGAGGAAGTGTAACCCCATCAGGAGCAGGCCAACTCCCAGCCATCTGGTCTAGCAATCCACCCACTAACAGTGCCTCAGTTTTATCCGGACTGAGCTTCAGTTTGTTGGCTCTCATCCAATCCATTATTGAGGCAAGACACTGGTCCAGCACTTCCACTGCCTCACCTGCAGACGTAAAGGAGAAGAAGAAGAAGAGTTTGGATTTGATATCCCGCTTTATCACTACCCTAAGGAGTCTCAAAGCGGCTAACATTCTCCAGACTTCCGGGGAGGTGCCTCCGGTAATGGCGGAATTCCTCTGACCGGGAGGAATCTGCTCCGTGGAAATCTGGGTCTGGCCGCCACGGCGAAGGCGGAGACCCGTTAAAATCACAGGCGGGAGAAGCCTGTGAGCGTGGGATTCGGCGGGCACCTTTTGCGCCTCCCCCACTCGTGGGGAACCCCGGTTTTTGGGGCTCTGGAGCGACGTGGGGTGAGCGGCACGGTGCATCGAATCGTCTGCTTCTTCCACGGAGCGAAGCCGCATAGCCGTTGTCGGAGAGCGCTGACCTTTCCCTGTGGACAATTTGACTTTAAAGTAATTACCCGTGAGTAGAACTGAAGCGGAAGAATTGGATTTCTGAATGTTTAATTTGGTACTGTAACGGGGAGGTTCAAAACAGGAAGTCCGTCTTCCCCTTTTGTAAATAGACTGAGGCAATGAAGTTGCAAGCTGGAGTCCTGAAAAATCTTTTGTAAAAGATTGAATTTCCAACATCGAAAAGAACATTAAACCCCCTCTTGGAGGCAGGAGAAGAGAGGGGGGTTGCGGACTGAGTATGCCTGTGGGAGAGAGCGAAGAGATTTAAAACACCACCGCTCTGACCCTGGAAACGGGCTGCCAGCAGGACTGACGTCTTTTGGAATGTTCATTGACAGCGTTTAGCACGTTCATTGACAGCTAGTTAAACAAGAGAAATACATTGTTTCTACTGTCTCCGGCTGCTTTAAAAAGGAGTAAAAGTAACTGAAAATTGAAACTAATTTGAAACTAATATTGGCTTGCTTAAAAGAGGATACTATTGACTATTACAAATAGAAACTGTTTCCCTCTAGTGGAAGCCTTTGAAACCGGTTGCTTTACAAGAGCTGGGCTAGGGGAATTTCCAGCTGCAAGTTAAAAACCGTGAGACTCTGGGACTGACCTTGAATCTTTTAAGTGTTATGGTTAATGAAAGAGGAAAAACAGACCAGTCAACTGCTGACAAAACATTAAGGTTTGGGAGGACTTGGCAACAATCCCCTTCTGCTGCCGCCTTTGTACCAATATATTTAAAACCAAGAGGAATGTCGACAGAAGAGGCATGGTCAGCCAATTGGTCTTAAAGAAGGATAGAACTTTTGTCACGTATGCAACAATAGCAGCAAGAATACTCATTGTGAAGTACTGGAAGACACAAGATTTATCTATTCGGGAAGAATGGCAGATGAAGTTGATGGACTATATGGAATTGGCGGATACGACTGGCAGAAATCCGAGACCAGGGAGAAGGGTCGGTGGAAGAAGATTGGAAAAAGTTTAAGACTATTTATAGAAATATTGTAAAAATAATGAATGTTGGAAAAATGTTGGAATGAAGATATATGGCTTTAGTAGAAATGTTATAAGGAATTAAGTATAAATAGATTAATAGAGTATTAAAGGAAAAAATAAGGTTAGAATATGTTAAGATTATAGGATAGAAAACAGAGGAAGATGGAAAGGAATTGTTGAAACAATTAACAGAAGTGGAATACAAAAAGGGAGGTGTGAGGAGGTCGTGGAAATAAGGGAATGAAAGATAAGATATTGAAATTGTTTTGTGTTTTAAATGGTTTGTGTCTTGTTTTGTTAGTTTTATGCTTTTTGTTTTTTTGTTTGTTTTTTTGTTTTGTTGTGTTTAAACGGTTGGAAAATTAACAAATATTGTTTTTTTAAAAAAATTCAAAGCGGCTAACATTCTCCTTTCCCTTCCTCCCCTACAACAAAGACTCTGTGAGGTGAGTGAGGCTGAGAGACTTCAGAGAAGTGTGACTGGCCCAAGGTCACCCAGCAGCTGCATGTGGAGGAGCGGAGACGCGAACCCGGTTCCCCAGATTACGAGTCCACCGCTCTTAACCACTACACCACACTGGCTCCCTAAAGGAGAAGCAGAGCTGTGTGTCATTGGCATATTGCTGACAATGTACTCCAAACCTCCAGATAACCCCACTCAGCAGTTTCGTATAGATGTTAAATCGCACAGAGGATAAAACTGAACCCTGAGGAACCCCACTGTAGAACACTCCCCAAGCAACATCCTCTGGGTGTCACCCCCCTCTAACTCAGACAGCTGCTCCAGAGGAATGCCATGGTCAATGGTATCGAAAGCTGCCAAGAAGTCAAGGAGAATTAACAGAGACACATTTCCCCAGTCCCTCTCCTGACAGAGATCATTATACAGGCGGCGAAAGCAGTTTCTGTGCCAAAACAAGGCCTAAACCCGATTTGAAATGGGTCGAGAAAATCTAGAATCTGGCATGGGGCTCTTGTTTCTTTTAATGTACAGTGGTACCTCGGGTTAAGAACTTAATTCGTTCCGGAGGTCCGTTCTTAACCTGAAACTGTTCTTAAGCTGAGGTACCACTTTAGCTAATGGCGCCTCCTGCTGCTGCCGCACTGCCGCCACCACACGATTTCTGTTCTCATCCTGAAGCAAAGTTCTTAACCCGAGGTACTATTTCTGGGTTAGTGGAGTCTGTAACCTGAAGCGTATGTAACCCGAGGTACCACTATATACATTTCCTCCTCTCTCTCTTTTTAAAACAGCATTTCTATCCTATTTGTATTGTATACATTTCCTCACACAGTATCTAGCCTATTCACATTGTAACTATGCATGGGACATTAAAAAAAAAAAAAAAGTAACTCTAAGCAAGGCAAGGCAACAAATTCAAGCACTTGCTAAGGAAAACACAGTTTCTGGGCTCGGGGTATGGGGACAAATATTCAGCATGGACAATATCTGAAAAACTTACAAATTGAAATGGAATACTCAGGATGAAACGGTGAAATCTGCTATGATTAAATGGGCACAAGATGTTGGACATAACATAATGATGGCTGACTGGGAACAGTTATGGACCACAGGTATGAAGTTTACGGCATGCAATGCCTTAAGAGAGAATATTATGAAAATGATATACAGGTGGTACATGACCCCAGTCAAGCTTGCAAAAATCTACCATTTGCCCGATAACAGATGTTGGAAATGTAAAGAAACTGAAGGTACATTCTTTCACCTTTGGTGGACGTGCCCAAGGATTAAGGCTTTCTGGGAGATGATTTATAATTAATTAAAAAAGGTATTTAAATATACCTTCTTGAAGAAACCAGAGGCCTTTCTCCTGGGCATAGTCAGTCAATTGGTGTTAAAGAAGGACAGAACTTTCTTTATGTATGCTACAACAGCAGCAAGAATACTTATTGCAAAGTATCGGAAGACACAAGATCTACCCACTCTGGAAGAATGGCAGATGAAAATGATGGATTACATGGAATTGGCGGAAATGACTGGTAGAATCCGAGACCAGGGAGAAGAGTCGGTGGAAGAAGATTGGAAGAAATTTAAAGACTACTTACAGAAATATTGCAAAATTAATGAATGTTAGAATGATGTTGGATTGAAGTTAAATGGTTTCTAGCTGTAATGGTATAAAAGAATATGAAAAAATTGGATTTTTAACAGGTAAAAATTTAATGCTATAATATATTAAGATAAAGATCAGGATAAAATAAGGAGGGAAAGGTATTGCTGAATTAATAAATTGAACTGGAATACAAAAAAGGGAGGTATGAGGAGGTCCGGGAAACAAGCAAATGAAAGATAAGCGATGAAAAGATGGAATTGTTTTTAACTGTTTTTTATTTTGTATTTCTTCTTTTTTCTTTTTCATTATGTAATATTGTGAAAACTTTAATAAATATTTATTTAAAAAAAGAGAAAAACTTCCAAATTGCTGCTTACAGAATAGCCTGGGGGGCCAATGAGCCCCACAGAGAGAGAGAGCAACCCATTTCCCCCCCAGACCCTCTATGACAGACTTCGTCAACCTTGGCCCACCAGATGTTTCTGGCCTACAACTCCCAAGATCCCTAGCTAGCAGGACCAGTGGTCAGGGATGATGGGAACTGTAGTCTCAAAACATCTGGAGGGCCGAGGTTGAGGAAGCCCGCTCTAGGACTCCACTGGTTTTTGTAGCAGCAAAGGGGGGGGGGAATTAAGTGGTTTGAGCAGAAAAGTTCAAACATATTAGCCTAGGTCATGGGTGAAGCCAGGGGGCAGCTCCCCCCCCCCCAATCAAGCAAATCAATAAAAATACTTAACTGACCAATTGCATCACAGATAACTCAGTTCTGCCCCCCCTAACATAAAGCCTGCCCCCCCAATAAATCCTGGCTATGCCCATGGCTGGGGCGCGGGTGGCGCTGTGGGTAAATCACGGAGCCTAGGACTTGCCGATCAGAAGGTCGGCGGTTCGAATTCCCGTGACGGGGTGAGCTCCCGTTGCTTGGTCCCTGCTCCTGCCAACCTAGCAGTTTGAAAGCACGTCAAAGTGCAAGTAGATAAATAGGTACCGCTCCGGTGGGAAGGTAAACAGCGTTTCCATGTGCTGTTCTGGTTCGCCAGAAGCGGCTTAGTCATGCTGGCCACATGACCCGGAAGCTGTACGCCGGCTCCTTCGGCCAATAAAGCGAGATGAGCGCTGCAACCCCAAGTCGGCCATGACTCGACCTAATGGTCAGGGGTCCCTTCACCTATGCCCATGGCCTAGCTCAGTGACCTGATAAGAAAGCAAATGTTCTGCCCTCTAGCATTCAGATCATTCATTTGATGAGCAGGGACCAGTAATAGCTCCTTTTAAGCTGATCTGTACAGCTCAGCTGAGGAGGGTGAACGCAGCACCCAAACCAAAACTGGTTTGCCACCCTTGAGCTAAAGGAGCACCCAAGGCACATGCATGATGACCAGGGAAATATTCCACAGAAGTGAAAATAAATAGAAACAGCAATGTGGATGTTAAAGATATTAGCAGGGCCGTCTTACCCATAGGCACTAGGGGTGCAGGGCACCCGGGCACCGGGCTCTCAGGGGTGCCAGGCTGAGAGTCCGGGGCCCAAGAGTTGAGTCCGGGGAAGAGCCTGCCTGTTGGTCAGAGCGCCACAGCGGGCGGCTCTGTGTCATGAGTTTGGGGGCAGCTGAGCCAGTCAGACACTGAGGCAGCTGGCTGGCGCCGCCCTCCTGCGCGCCTGGGACTGGGCAACCTGGGAGGCGTCAGGGCAGATCTTTGCACCCCGGCGCCACATATGCTTAAGACAGCCCTGGATATTAGAACTGGAATGAATACCATTTGGACACGTAGCCCCAAAACTGCAAACCTAGCTCTGGCAATTCCGAGAAGCTTCTGACTTGTTTTTCCTGAGACACCAGCATGCTAACCTAACCCATGGCATGCATAGTGATGCTAGGGTGTGGCAATCACCCTTAAGATTAAAACTGAATGCAGAAATGTGGGCAGGTGAGAGCAAGAACATTACAGAAACATAGTTCCTGTTGTTGCTGCTGCTGTGTAGGGATTCAAAGGAAACATATCCACTGGATATGTTTGGCTCCTAAATGATGTCTAACAAACTATTCTGAGGAGGAGGAGGCTACAATGGTAGAAAGAAAATATGACTAGGTTATAAAATTACTGTACAAAACTTCAGGGAGGCAGTTTATAAATCTGCAAAATTAATAATAAACAAAGCAAACTGTATTAACATGGAGGTATTACAGCATGTGTAGGTAGATTTGCATGCCCACTGGCCTAGCTATGGAGCAGACTGAGGCCTGCATTTCTGCTGGTTCCTGGTTCAGCAGATGAGAGGCAAGGGGATATTATAGTAGTGCACACTAGCATGGCAATATGCCATACACTGGACCACTTTTGGCACACTTGCTAAAGAGGTTTGTTCTCTTTCCAGTGGGAAAGCTCCAGAACAATACAGAAATGGAGATTGCTCACAGGGTTCTGTGGCGGGTCCAGAAAGCTGTCCACACATAAAATTAAAAAGTTAAACCAGCGACACCTCTCCTTCAATAAGGGGAGAGAACATGTTTGTCTAGGAACGAGGAAGAAGCGCCTCTTCAGCAACGTGGCGCATGTGATTCATCCACTTATATTCCTTTCACAAACGTTGTCAGAAGTAGCACTGTGGAGCTGTAAAGTTGCACTTCAGCAAGACAGATTTAGAGCTATCAAAGAGCGACTCCGGAAAGGTGGGGGGAGCTTTGAGGGAGGAAAGGGGAGGCTGTAGCAGAAGAGGAAGTTATGAGCAACAGCCCATTTCGAAGCACGCTTACTTCAGCCCAAGTCCCACTGAACTCAAAGGAAGTTCCCTGCGCGCAAGTGAGCAATGGCGCTAAGCAGCCACGCAGTCCGATCCTGTGCGTATTTACGCAGAGCTCCCGCTTAGCTCCGCTGGGGCCCCCTTCCAAATAAGAGCGCAGACAGACTTTATGGGGTAAAAGATGTCCCTCTTCACCCGTTTTACAAGGGATACAAAAGCTATGGGGCATTGCGTTCCTCGGCACACCCACCCACCGCGTTTCATGTCCTATTTAGCCCGACGAAGAATTCTGAAGAACTCAAAAGCTTGCTCGCTGTTTTCAGACGGTTGAGGCCAAGCCATTGCCCACTTTGTGTAACAAGCCATACTAGGGAAGAAACTTGCGAACCCAGCGCGCTAGCTGTTTATTATCCTGGGGAAAGTTCCGCTACGTTTAATCCAAAGGAAAGAAAAAAGGGATGGTATAAAAGGGAAAGGAGAGGCGCACGCGAATCCGCGCCCGGGTTGAGAAGAGGCTTCCGAAAGGAGGACGGGCCGTCGAGGAGGCAGGAACAGGAAAGGGGGGGGGAGAAAGTGGGGGGCTGGGAGGAAGAGCCAGGGAAGCGCGTGGGGTTCAGGAGGAGAGAGGCTAAGGAGATGGAGGGGGGACCCGCGACGGCAGCGTGGTGGGCCAAGGGCCGTCGGGGCTGGCGAAGGAGAGGGTGGGTGGGGGGAACACGAGGACGCCAGCTGGAGAGCGAGAGGCCGGCCGAGCCCGGGACTTACCCAGATGCGGAGAAGGCTCGGGGCAAGAGGCGTCCGGCTTGGAGGCATTGGGCGCCGGGGCTGCGGGGTCCCTCCGGGAGGGCGCCGGGCCGCGGGGCGCCGCCGCTTCCAGGCGCCACTGGAAGCTGAGCGTGCTGCCGGCCAAGCAGTAGAGGACGACGGCCAGGAGGTGGAGGACGCAGAAGATGACCAGCAGGCGGCAAGCCTTCTGCAGCGAGGCGCCGGGCAGCTCCTTCATGGTGCGCGCCGTCAGTGCTGCTCCGAGCGCGGCATCCGAGGGCGCAGCATCGCGGCGCGCTCGGCAGGCCGGGGAAGCGACGGCACCGCTACAAAGGCGCCCAGGCGCTCCGCAGCCGCCTGCCTGCCTGCCTGCCCGGCGCGGAGGGGAGGGGAATTGTGATGTCAGGCTGGGACTCCGCCTTTCCCCGCGGCGGAGGGGCGGTGGCTCCGGTTGGGGAGCTCCTCCTCCTCCTCCTGGAGGTAATGTGACGGCGGGTAACCCCGGACTTGGAGCCCTTGCTTTGCCAAGTCTCCCGGAGGTTGCGAGGAGACCCCTGCGCCACGCTCACCCTGAAAGCAAACCCGCATTGAACCTCCCTAAGCCGGACGGCTGACTTTGGTGGATTCCCCCCCCCAAAAAAATATTTTTTATTACTTTTCACAACATTATAAACAAACAAACATAAATCATTTGTTGTTGTTGTTTAGTCATTTAGTCGTGTCCGACTCTTCGTGACCCCCTGGACCACAGCACGCCAGGCACTCCTGTCTTCCTCTGCCTCCCGCAGTTTGGTCAAACTCATGCTGGTAGCTTCAAGAACACTGTCCCACCATCTCGTCCTCTGTCGTCCCCTTCTCCTTGTGCCCTCCATCTTTCCCACCATCAGGGTCTTTTCCAGGGAGTCTTCTCTTCTCATGAGGTGGCCAAAGTATTGGAGCCTCAGCTCAGGATCTGTCCTTCCAGTGAGCACTCCAGGCTGATTTCCTTAAGAGTGGAGAGGTTTGATCTTCTTGCAGTCCATGGGACTCTCAAGAGTCTCCTCCAGCACCAGAATTCAAAAGCATCAATTCTTCGGCGATCAGCCTTCTTTATGGTCCAGAACATAAATCATAGCCTTATTAAAAATTACACTTATTAACATTGTTAAGTGACTTCCTCGCTTCCCCTTGGTTGAATTTCATTGCATGTCCTTTTAACGGTTTTCCAAATCACAGTTCTTATAAAATTTAACTTAAACATTAACATCCTTAGATCTTCACATTATTAAATTAAACATATTAATTCATCACTTAACTTAAATAAAATCCTAAGCTAATTAAGTATCTGCAAGCTGTTTTCAGTTAGTTTAACTTAACATATTTAACTAAGTAATCATTAAATTTAATCCACTCTTCCTGATACTCCTCCTCCTTCTGGTTGCGGACTCTTCCGGTTAGGTCAACTAGCTCCAAAAAATCCATCATCTTCATCTGCCATTCTTCTATCGTTGGTAATTCTTGGGTTTTCCACTTTTTAGCTAACAAAATACGAGCAGCAGTTGTGGCATACAAAAATAATTTAACATCTTTCTTTGGAGGATTTGGCCGCGTTCACACAACCTATTCACGCGCTCTTCGTGTACACGCGCTCACCCGGCTTATCTAGCGTGCCCCCTGGCGGCGACTTTGCATGTGCACTGGCAGGCAGATCCGGTGCTAAATCCTCACTCGCGTACTGGTTGCGGCCTGCTTGTTGTGGGTTTGCGACAAGCACGTGCAAATGAACGAGGTGGGTAGACTGAGGCAGTCTTGTTCTCGGTTTTAGTACTGTGAACTGTAGGACGGAGGGCATCTTTTTGAATGTTGTCCCCGGTTAAGTAATGAGCATTCAAGCTCCATGCACGCAGTAAGCCAGAATATCAGGAAGGGGACTGTGCTAAACCTTTCTCGTTGGTGCCTTTGTTTTCTACCAGGAAGGACTTTAGTTTTTTAAGGGCAAGGCCCTCAGAGAGATGGCTGGCACCCAGGTGTCAGAAAATGAGTGGCAACACCTCAAATCTGCCATTTTTCCTGCACCTCCAGTCATTGCAATTTTAATAATTTCATAGCTATCCTATGACAAACTAGTGCTTTTCAGTGGAAAGGAAGCCTCCTGTCATCTCTCAATTGCTGGAAACTGCACAATATTTCTGCATGTCATTATTGAACAGGCCTTCTTCTTTTCTAAACTTGTGTTTCTTAGTATCTTTGCATTAACTTACATAGATACCTTGTTAGTTTTATTTCCTAATTTCTTGTAACAAAAACTCCAAAGTGGCCTCTTTATTATCTCAATTCAAGGCCCCATGTTGTTGCTGTTCTCCCACCTGCCTGCCTGCCCACCCTCCTGTGAGTTCAGGCCAAAGGCTTATCTAGTCCAGCATTCTAGGCTCTGGCTGGTATTCAGAAGTACAGGAGAGACAAAAGCTCAGTTGGTTAGAGCATGGAGCTGATAACAACAAGGTTGCAGGTTCCATCCCCTTATGGGACAACTGCACATTCCTTCATTGCAGAGACTTAAGTGATCTTTGGGGTCCCTTCCAACTCTTTGATTCTATGAATTCTAAGACTTTAAAGGGAAAGTTGCAGTGTATCCCCACCCTTCCTGGATCCCTCTTCATCTAGTGCATGGGTAGGCAAACTAAGGCCTCCGGCCCAATCGCCTTCTAAATCCAGCTCACGGATGGTCCGGGAATTGGCATGCTTTTACATGAGAGTCCTTTTATTTGAAATGCATCTCTGGGTTATTTGTGGGCCATAGGAATTCATTCTTCTTTTCCCTTTTCAAAATATAGTCCGGCCCCCCACAAGGTCTGAGGGACAGTGGACTGGCCCCCTGCTGAAAAAGTTTGGGGAACCCTGAGATTCTAGCACAAGGAGTGAACAGTCACCTTCCAAAAAAACCTAACATAGGCTGTTTAGAAGTTGAGTAGGTCATTTGTTTCTTCTCTCTCCTCTTCCTCCACTGCATTGCAGGGGGTTGGACTAGATGACCCTCAGGTCCCTTCCAACTCTACAATTCTATGATTCGACATTCTGAGCATCCTGGAAGCTCACAGGCCCTTGTCAGTCCATTTCTTGATTTTAGTTTTATTTACAACCATATATGTCTGGGTACCTTCAGAATTTTGTTTCTTTAAATATAACCCTCTTTTGCTTCCAGTTCCAGTCACCCTTGTCCATCATTAGAGAGATTTAGGATGACTCATGGTGCAATCCTATCCTCTGGGTGAACTGTCTCGTTGCAGCATAGGATCAGAACAGTGTCGGGTTTAGGGTGGCATGGGCAGCTCCCCTGTACAGGGCACTGAGCTGAGGGGGCTCAAAATTGAGAAGAGCCATAATCGAGAAGGTGCATTTGGGGACGCCAAATTTTGGCCTTGCACAGGGTGCCATATTACGAAAGATGAACAAAGTCCACCCCTGATCAGAACCAAAATCTCCCTGTGCCAGCGGATCACGGTGACACTCATGCAGCGAGGCCGTTGTACAGGAGGCACAGTGCCGAAGCTCTTACGCAGTCTGTTTGACCTCCTCCTAAAATAAATTGGCAAGCAGCTGACACTGACACACACACACACACACACACCCCATTCTAGGAGGAGGAAGTTATGTGTCCAGGGTAACGGGAGCAAAGCATTTGGGTTTATTGCAAAGAGTAGCCCCTATATTTGTTGGATCAGCAAGTTCAGGTTTGAGCTTTTAAAGACCTCTTGTGTGAATATAATCCGGAGCCAGAGATTTGTTAATTTTTAACTTGTCAAGAAGTCCTGGAGCTTCATCTCTTGTCAATACTATTTTCCTAAGTTCTGCAGACTCCTTTACTGAAAATGTCGGTTCAAGCCCAAGTACGTATTTGCAGCGGTGAGTGACGCAGAGGATAAATTCAGCTGCAACTCATTTTTCTTAGACGGCTATGCAGATTGTGAGTTCCGTTCCAAACACATCTGCTTTTAAAGCAGCAGGATCTGGGTTGCAGCTGAACTTTGAAAAATAAGATTATGCATGGCAAAGTGTTCCAACAAACAAAGACTGTGGTCTAAGCTCAGGTATTTTAATCAGTCACACCTTATTTTCTGGGGTAGCTTAGCCTCCTGAAATTAGGTGTAATTAATGCACAGGAGTTGACTGACCAGCCCGCCCAGATTCTCCCAGGTTCTTCATTTCCTGCAGAGAATGTGAGATGGGTGGGGTATTGCACCTTTGAATGAAAATGAACGAAAGCTCAGTTCACACCCTAATGAACTAATGGCATTTCCAGATGACCTGTTTATTGAGAGTTCATCCTAATTTGTTTGCAAAGAAGTTAGATAATGTTGCATCAAAACAATCCCCCCCCATCCTTTCTAGTCACTTTCCTTCTTGCAAAAAAAAAAAGTCTGGAGCTTTTTTTGCGGGGGAGAGACGAAGTAGGTTTGTGGCACAATCTAAATTGAATCCTACTCCAGAATAGCAGCAGACTGGAAGTGCCCCAAATTAACCATTTAAACTGACATATGGTGCAGGAACACTACACACAGGTGAGTTTCCTGAATAATTAAAAAAATCATTTTAAGCAGGGATTATATTGTGCAGACTCCAATACTTTGGCCACCTCGTGAGAAGAGAAGACTCCCTGGAAAAGACCCTGATGTTGGGAAAGATGGAGGGCACAAGGAGAAGGGGACGACAGAGGAGGAGATGGTTGGACAGTGTTCTCGAAGCTACCAGCATGAGTTTGACCAAACTGCGGGAGGCAGTGGAAGATGGGAGTGCCTGGCGCGCTCTGGTCCATGGGGTCACGAAGAGTCAGACACAACTAAACGACTAAACAAAAACAATATTGTACAGGCCAGGCCAGAGGAAGAATGAAGCATCTGGTGGCCAAGGACCACATAGGGACACGGCTTGTTGAAGCAGCCTGCACAGAAAGCTGCTTACCTCTAGTCTACTCTAGGAGTATATAATGGGGCAGGCTCGTGGGCTCAGCCACCAGGATTTGAGTCACATCTGTTGCTGGTTTGTCTCTGGAGACAATGGAGTATGCCTCCAGGGGTGAAGTCAAACTGTTGTGTTAGCAGCACCAAAGTGACCTCTCTGGGGCTCAAGCCTGAGCAGTGTGTATGGAGGTCCTGGGCTTCGCTGATGTGGTCCAAAGGAAAGCAGAGCCAGTGGCGTAGCGTGGGGGGTGCAGGGGGGGCCGGCCGCACCGGGCGCAACATCTGGGGGGGCGCGCTCGCACTCGCAGCTCTCTGCCCCTACTAAAATCCACGGGTCAGGGGGCGCAAATTACTTGCCTTGCCCCGGGTGCTGACAACCCACGCTACGCCACTGAGCAGAGCAATATGTTTGGCACCATCTTGGCAGTTGGAGTTGCAGGAAGGAGAT